ACATGTTACTTACGTGACTTAAATAAAATAATGTTGACTTTTTGTTTCACACGAGAAACGAACACCAGTCTCCTGACTGAAAGTCTAGTTTCTGTCCACCCGACCGCCTCCTTGCTCAGACTTTTCTGTGAAAGACCCTACACCTACCTTTAGTGTTGAAAATGGTTGCTATAGGGCGTTACAAACTGACACCAGCGGGTCTTGACCAGGCGTCCATATGTGACGTCTTGGGATTGAGAACGTGTTGGTACGCTTTAAAGGAGACCTATTAAACTGCTTTTCCAGTCCTATATTGTAGTTCTGTGACTCCGGTACGGCAGATTTGCATGATTCAATGTTCAAAAAAATCTTTTTCTGTCATATACTGGCTCTTCATGCAGGCCTTCATTTCAGCCTCTGTCTGAAACAGGCTGTAGATGCGCCTGTCTCTTTAAAGCCCCCCCTCTCAAAGCCCACTGTCGTCTGACTGGCCAAGACCTGAAGCATGTTACCAGGCTGTTGCTGGGCGGAACAGACAGACTGAGCGTTGCTGTGGGAGCAAATGAGCATATATGGACCAGCGGCTCCGTCTGGCTCCGTGTGTCGTAGAACGGAGGCCTTGGTAGAAAAAGCTTTTGAAAACAGGAGGAAACCTGAGGTTTTGGCTCACAGGGATTTCTTTTAAAGAGGTGGTATTCTGCTTTTTGGCTTTTTCCCTCTCCTTTATTGAGTGATATATCTTTTTTGTGCATGTAACAGGTTTGCAAAGTGAAAAAGCCCAAAGGGAGTTCCCATCTCCCACAGAAAGCTCTGCTCTGAACCGCTCGACTCGCCTTTGTTTGGTTTTCCTTTGTAGAAATGTTGCACCTGTACCTGCTTCCAGGTACTTTTTTTCGTATCACCTCTGTTGAGGTTCCAAGCGAGCTGAGGCGATACTAAAATGTAACGTGAAAACACGACAGACTGCTGACTGGTCAGAGAGCGTGTGAGGCCGGCCAGCCGCCCGCTCACAGAGCCCTCTGCTCCCGCCCACAATCACAACCTGTAAGTGTGCTTTATTGGTTGTGAATTATATTTAAAATAAACACGGCAATGTAACTTCACAGACTGTTCAAGTGCGGAGTTGTTGTAAACGTTGGCTAACGCAGCTAAAGTTATAGCTATAATGCTAATGTTACACCTGATTTAAAAAGCTACTGAGCAAACGTTCAAATTGTTTGGCCAATTTTTATGTAGAATTGAGTTGAAATATGGTGATTTCTGTAGTGGTTTATTGTAAGATGTGGAACAATGATGTTGTGGACTTGTGAGTAACTTATACCATCTGCTAGGTTACGGTCTCAGTCTGAAGCGGCTTTGATTTGGATCACACTACCTTGTTTCTTACGACCCGCCCTTCTCTCCTTCTGATTGGCTAGTAGTCCTTACCTGGGAACTGCGCATGTGCAACTCCGAAAAAAGATTTTGTACAAGTAAGATGCATCACTCTGTAGCTCAAGAGTAGAGCGTACAACACACAGGGTGAAAAGAGGAGCTGCAGCAATGTGCAGTATGAGAAAAATATAACCATGTAAACCTGTTCTGGTACAACCCCTAATTAAGATTTTGAACCTGAAAATGAGCAGAATACCACCTCTTTAAATACTTTGAATACATTTACATACATTGTAACATTGTAGATAAGTCGTAAAATGTGGAAAGCATAACAGGTCTCCTTTAATGTTGTTTTTGTACGTGTAGGGTCAAGTTAGGAACAACAAATATGCAACGTCTGGTTAGACTTTGAAAATAAAACTAGTGGTTAATGTTGTGCAACGTCACAGTTTGGTTACGTCGTTAGGTTTAGGCACAAAAACTGCTGGTTAGGGTTAGGAAAGATCATGGTTTGGGAATAACTACGTTACTTAAGTGACTTAAAGTATCTAAGTTCAGTTCCGCTACTTACGTAATATCACAAAACAAAATCAGTGAATCTTTTTGTTTCATATGGGAAACAAACACCAGTTTTAACGGTTTTGTCTCACCTGTCCACCCAAACCCACTCCTTACTTTGACTTTTCTGTTATTTATACTAGGCCTACTTTTAGCGTTGAACTATCGCTTGCCATGTGCGTTGGTACCAGACACCGAAATACGTGTCAAAGCAAAGCTTTTTTGGGGGGAAATGAGAACAGTCTGAAAATCCAGCTGCTGGTGATAAATTTCAATGAAATCTAAGGGAATTCAGAACTATAGTGTGTCCTGGCCTCATGTCAGCATTTCGACCTTCATGTAGAGAAAAAAACTGAACAGTTAATTGAATAAATAAAACATGTGGAAACGTTTGTTTCGGTGGCTTGTAAAAAACGATCTCACCCACAACTCATGACTCCAGTATCCAGTCACGGCGTGCGTCTTATCTGACAACTAAATGTTGGACTTAATGTTTGCAGGTTAAATATTTAAGAGAAACTAAAGTACTCTGGTTGAAATAATGTGGTCCAAAAAGTGTGTACCAGTGTTTTTCTTCTTGTGTCTGGTGCTAAATCTGAAAATATTATTTTATTCTAACATATAATTTAGACGTTTACATATTTTGTTCATCATAAAGTTCATAACTTTTAAAAGTGCATCTTTGTAAGTTTGTTACAATCAGGAACAAAATTTTGTGTTTTAGCTCCTTTAAAATTAAAGATATAAATCAAATCCAGTTTCATTATTAGGATTTTAAAACCACCTGTCAGTCATGCCATGTGTATCTGCAGTGTTTAATGTAAACCTTTTGAAAACATTTGGATAATTACTAACCTGAAACAAACCGGCTTTCTACAGTAACATGTGTCTAAACCAAACTCCATTCATAAAAACCTGCACTTTACTGTCCTGTCCTCTGTGCATGTGTTTTTATCCTGAAGATGAAGGTTTGTGTTTGATGTGAAACTGCTGACTGATCAACATCAAACATTGACTTTGTTGCTAATCAACAATAAAGAGCTAATTTGTATTATTATTTGGAAATGATCTTTGCTAAATAAACAAAACAGGTCCTAATGCTTTGTTGGCACAAAATGGCTGCCAGTTGGTATAGTGTCAAACTGCCTTTTTATTTTGTCTGTATCAGATTTTACATCGATTATGTGATGTCGACCGTGTCATCTGTGTGTAATAACCCTTCATGGCAGATTTGTCAGACAGTCTGTAAATGAAAATCCTTTCGTCACGCAGCTCAGATCCGAGCAGCCGACGGCCTCTTGGGAGCCAAACTGTGTCAAAATAATCACTTTATTGTGATTTTGGTTGTAAAGTGAGACGCTCATTAATAAGTCATTGTTTTATTCTGAAAAGCTGCTTCGTGGCTGCAGACGCCCCTTTTTTCTTTAGATGTTTAATGTTTTTAATGTTTATGTCTTGTCATGCTGAGAGAAATGGAGCTGACCTTTGACCCTTTGCTGTTTGTTCTTCAGTGCTATTTTGACATCAGGACCTTGTAACTGTAACTTACTATCTTAGTTACGAGATCTGTAATTAATGTGATATGGATGAGAAAGATTTTTTTGACGTACAGATTTAGTTTTCTCATAATTATAAATAAATACAGATTTTGTCAAAACAGTTTTTTGCTGTTATGAGACACGAATCTTGTTAATTATGAGATTTACTTTTGGTAACGGAGATCCAGAACTCATCGATTACAAGTTTTTCTTGTAATAATGAGACAGTTTTTGTTTGTTTGCAGTCATCAGATACAGATCTAGTTAGAAGTTGTTGTGGAGCTGCAGCACTCAGTGACAAACTTGTGTGAAAGTCCTGAGTTTGACCCATCCTACCTTTATAATCCGTACTGTTGTAGTCTTGTAGAGACCGGTCTTGGTCTCAAGACCACTTTTTGATGGTCTTCTCGTCTCGGACTCGACCGCATTTGTACTCGGTCTTGTCTCGGTCTCAGACATTGAAGACTCTGGATTTTATTTCAAGACCAGTCAAGACCATAACTTTGGGAATATCAATAAATTGCTTTTGCATCGTCTGATTTATTTGTTAACATCCAAAATTTGGTTGGATGTAAAACGTGTTGCTTCAAATGCAACAATTAATTAAAAATGTGTTGTTAACGTAACGACTCTCCCCTCCCCGCAATGGTAACTATGGAGAAGGAGTTGATTTCAGCCCTTAGTGTTTGTACGTGGGTGTTTTAATGGGAATGTGGAAGAAGTACCTGTGATCTCGTTCCACATTTTATTGTGTGTCATGTAATGTGGGAAACTGGTCTTGGTCTCGACTTGTTCTCAGCCCCTAAAAGTCTTGGTCTTGTCTCGGTTTCAATAAGTTCTGGTCTTGGTCTCGACTTGGTCTCAGCCCCTAAAAGTCTTGGTCTTGTCTCGGTTTCAATAAGTTCTGGTCTTGGTCTCGACTTGTTCTCAGCCCCTAAAAGTCTTGGTCTTGTCTCGGTTTCAATAAGTTCTGGTCTTGGTCTCGACTTGTTCTCAGCCCCTAAAAGTCTTGGTCTTGTCTCGGTCTCAATAAGTTCTGGTCTTGGTCTCGACTTGGTCTCAGCCCCTAAAAGTCTTGGTCTTTTCTCGGTCTCAATAAGTTCTGGTCTTGGTCTCGACTTGGTTTCAGACCCTAAAAGTCTTGGTCTTGTCTCGGTCTCAATAAATTCTGGTCTCGGTATTGACTTGGTCTCGGTTTCGGCGGCCTTGACTACAACACTAATAATCCGTCTTCTGATTTCCTACAATGCTACCGCCGTGCGGCCACTAGAGGCAGCTAAAAGCCTAAACATGGGTCGTAAGAAGCTGGATAATAATCGACCTACACGTCCGTTTTTCTGGTGAGGATGGCTGAACAAACTGGACCGTCTGACTGGAGGTCTGCAGCTGGACGTTGGTTTACGGGGGAGCGATATATTTAGACGCTGCCATCACTAACGTGTCCCGGCAGTGCGGGACCTCCTCAGCTCTTTGAGATCTGAATCTGCTTGTTGCACAGTCCACCACGTGGCGTTAATGTGAACTAAAACCCTGGTCTTTGTCTCCTCTCAGATCTGAGTTCGGGGGGTTCGACCAGCAGCTCCAGGAGCTTCGTCTGCAGTCAGTGTGGGCGGTCTTACCGCCACGCCAGCTCCCTGCTCAACCACAAGAACAGCCACAAGACCGGGACCTACTTCTGCAACCACTGCCAGAAGGAGTTCCCCAACCTGATGTCCCTCAAGAACCACAGACGGATCCACACCGAGCCCAAGCGCTACCGGTGCCCGGACTGCGGAAAGTCCTTCCGGGTGTCCACGGCGCTTATCTGCCACCGCCGCATCCACACCAAGGAGAAGCCGTTCTCCTGCCAGCAGTGTGACAAGAGCTTCTCGTCCCGGTCCAACCTGAGGCACCACATGAAGGTGCACTGGAGGGGTCCGCCACTGTCCAGAGGGAGGTCATCCGCCTTCCTCACCGTCGCCTCCAGACCTTTCATCTAAATCTAAACCTCACTGGTCTTTCTGAAACAGACTTCCCCGGACCGCGTGGTCTCCTGAGGAACACCATGTGGAGGTTTTGGTCTGTGGGTTCGGGTTTAAATTTTATCAGAGACTGAACACCTGATATCATTATATCACTGAGATATTTCACCTGAAAACCATCAGTCTGAATTTATCAGTTTTAAGTTCCCCTCTTCGAGGTTTTTCCTGGTTCCTGACGTGAAACAAAAGAAGTTCGAAAATATCTTTTTCTGTGAACAAAAGACAAAGTCGACTGCGACTCCCATGGTGCATTTCACTGTCAAACAGCCGATCACAGAGCTTCATATACTGCTGTGTGTTCAATAACAACAAGCTAAATTTAAATTGCGTTTGGAAAACTGATTATTTCAACGTGATTCATTCTCATTGCATTTAAAATTCTCTCTGATTGATGGTTTATCTCCATAGCAACAGCAGCTGAGGCTCATGGGTATTTAGAGACAGACAAAAACACAATTTATCAGAAAACAAGGGTCAGTTATTCAAACTTCCAATCACTTTCACGACTACAGTATAAGTCTCTCTTTTTTGGATCGGGTGACGTTCTGATCAGTTCCATTCAGTTTTGATATTCAGCTTTTACCTTGAATTTTGGCATCTGAATCTGATAAACTAGAGTTTATTTACTTGAATGTTTTGATCCGAGTCGTGTTATTGCCCTATGTGCTAATAACGGATTTCAGTGATGTCATGTTGTTTTTTCAGGATGATGTGTAACTCTGGTGCATTTACAGCAGTGGCAACGTCTCGGATATTAAATCAACAAATAAATATATAGAAACTAAATGTAGCAGTTTGAATAGATATTATAGTTTTATCATGATCGTTTTTTATCAACAAGTCCCCCAACCTAAACGACAGCATATATCGTTTTATCCATCCCAAAACGACACATATGAGCATTAAACACTGTGAACGAGCGCTTTCACCACTAATGTTGTGAAACGGTCACACTTTGGTTACGTTTATGAAAAACATTGTGGTTTGGGTCAAAATAAGTACATTATATAAGTCACGTGACACAAGTCAGTTAAAACTGGTCTCCTAAGTAAGTCCAGTGTTTCAGCCATCCAACCACCCCGTTCTACCTCCTTATGCGGACTCCCTGCCTATTTATAATACGTCACCCGACGTCCTCCTTTGCTACCGTCATATTACCACTAGAGGTCGTTGCCACAATAAAAGTAAATATGGGTCGTCATAACGTGCTGCACAAACAACATATAGTTTCAAGTCCAAACCATATAAATTCAGATTGATGGTTGACGAACGAATTTTGGAATTAAATTTCAACATGATGTGTTTTAGCAGTTATTTAGGTTTTCAGTGAGTTATTCAGTTTCTTACATGATTCAGATCCTTTCATGAGCAGGAAACCTGGAAGCTGAAGCTCTTCTCTTCATGGAAACTTAAATGTGCGTTTTTTTTCTCTGACTTTGTGAAGCTCTCTGAGTTTCTCTCCGTCGATGATGAACGGCACTCGGAGGCTTAGCTGAACGGGTCTGAACACTTTTACACTCTGAGTGAAGCGGCATATTGCGTCGTCGTTGTCGTCACTTCCTCCTGATGAACTGAGCTCGCCGGGTGTTTAAGTAGATATCAGACTTTATCTATTGGGATATATTTTAGGTTTAAAGACGTCAGAGTGGATGATGGGTCTTCTATTGTTTCCACTACCTCTTCCTCTAATCTTGGTGTACTAGCTCCTATTTGTTCCTCTCATGTAATCCTGATTTTCTGTTTTATGCTCTGGTTTCACGCCATTGAACGAAGCGAAGAGTGTTGTTGTTGTAGAGTCAAGAAGCAGAAACATTTTAAACCCGTGGAAGCGTCTTTTTCCTCGGCGTCACGCTGTCTGGAGCGAGACCATTCAGATCTCAGCAGCTGTAAATGCAAAGAAGCATAGATCAGATGATATTTATCAGAAAACATGTCCAGATACAGATCACATGTGAAGGCCAGGTGAAGACAGGGCCTTCGTAAAACTTGTCCAGAGGGAAAATAGAGGAAATGAAAGCAAGGATTCTTTTTTTTAGATGATCTTTGAGTGAAAACAACAGCTCATTTCATTCATATAAACTCTCTTTCCTCTGACAGACTGTAAGACTTCACAGCGTCTCTTCAGACTGAAACTTAAAACGTTAACTTCTAACAAACTCTGGAGTGGAGGAACAAAGCGAAGATGAACAGAGGACGTCGACACGGACAAACATGAGGAGATTCTGTTTTTTACACTACGGAGGATAAACAGTGTTCCTTCCTCTTCTTCTGTTAGCATTCAAGACTCATAACGTACAGACGTAAAGCAGAGAAAAAACTGGGAAAATGTAGTTTCATGGGTGTTTGGACGCCTTCAGGTCAGCAAAGGAACTGTGAACTTAGCTGCCCTGATGGGAATCATCATCATCCTCCGAAGGACTGTCGAGATCAGAACCTCAACACTCAGACTGTTTTTAACTTCAACACCAAAATCAAACCATCAACACGGAAGTCCATTTATGTCATGTGGGGAAAAAAACTATCATATGTTTTTTATTCACTATTAAGTGTTTCTGAATCTTGTAAATATAAAAAAGTTAAGTGTAAAGTTTCAGTATTTGTAGAACACTTTGAAACTGCCTCCTGGATGAACTGCAGGAGCTAATTATGACAAACTCTCATAAATATGAGAAACGGCATCATAATTATGACGCAACTGAGTTTCTTAATCAGTAGATATTATCTAGTAATTATGCCTACTATGTTGCGATTATAGTTGAATTTCTCATTGCTATGATATTAGAAACCTTTTCATAATTATACTGAGTCAAATTTGAAGTATCTCATTATTATGAGATAATAATGAGATACATAATAATGACAAACTAATTATCACATAGTTTTATTTATGATGAGAAACTTTCTCATAATTATATGATACAGAGTATGAGATAGTTATTACAAACTCTTTATATATACTCTTTATCTCATAATTTATGATCCTTTTTATGAGAAAATAAATAGTCAAATCTATGAGGTGCAATCTCATGTTGCAAGTATGAGGAACATTTATAATGAGAAACACAATTCAGTTTCTTAATCATTAGATATTATCTAGTAATAATGAGAAACTCATATTTATGGCAATCTATGACCACTATTTTATGATTCTGACAAAATTTGCTATGATATTTCATGAGAAACCTCACAGTTATAAGATTCAGAGTCATAATTATAAATTAATAATTATGATGAGATATTATCTCAAGAAACTAATTATCACTTTGTTCTATTTATGATGAAATCGTATGTAATAATTATGAGAAACCTTCTCATAATTATGAGCTACCGAGGGTGAGATACTCATAGTTATTACAAACTCTGTCATAATGAGAAACATCTGAGAATCTGAATGATGAGATTGTATCTCATCATTTTGACTTGGCATCTAAAACTGAAAAAACAAGTTTCTCTTCTTTATGAGAAAGTTTCTCATAGTTGGTAGATACTATCTCGTAATCACGAGAAGCTTATTTTAATTATGAAGTACTCAGTCATACTAACTCAGTACTTGAAGAAACATCCTGTTATCTGCGAGATAGTATCTATTAGTCATAATTTATAGATACTTTATCTCACAAGTATTAGAAAGTTTCTCCAAACTCTGAGAGTAGAAGTCATTATTATGAGAAAAACCTAACACTTAACAATGAAAGAAAAACTTAGCTGGTGGATTTGTTCTTCAAAATGTGGAAATAGACTTCCATAACCAGCTGTTCTACAAGACGACCAAAAAACTGGGACTCTTGTGACGTTCTCATCGGATCTCTCACAGACTTCATTTATCATGGATTTCTTTCACAAAGCTGATGTCGGGAGCCATGTAGCTTTGTCTCTGAAGAAACTCACCAAATACAGACTTCAGGTTCGTCTGACAGCGGCCTGTTGACCAGCAACGTTCCTCATCAGGAGAGTTTGTAACATCACGGATTTATCCTGCCTCCGTCTTCTTCACCGTCTTGTACTCAGTTGGTTTTTAGGACACCTGTATTTTCTGACTCTGTGCCTGACAGCTCACATATATAGATAGTTTAAAGGGTTGTGGTACAAACTAAAAAGAAGTAGAATTTATAAAGGTAATGATGTGATGATGCTTTTGCTTACTTGGTCACAATCTGCAGCTGATTTCACTCAAACGAAACGCTTTCAGCTCTAAAATACTTACATGACGTGTGGGTTGAGGGTCATAGTTCAGTGTTGTTTCTACACTTCAGATCTGGTTTATCAGATGAAATTATAAAGAGTTCTCCAAAAAAAGTGACATACAACTGCAGGTCATTGTGACAGCCATTTTGTCTCCTTTCTAAATAATGTATTTTGTAAATATGACAATGTTTTCTCATACTCTTCGCAACTATGAGAATCAAAAAGTTATACTATCTCCAGCACAATATCTGTGAAGCTTCTGAGTCATCCAGGTCTTAGGTATCCAAGGAAGGTTAAAATCAAGGGCAACTGGACTTGGTTGAAGACACTTGAAGACGTTTCGCCTCTCATCCAAGAGGCCTTTTCGAGCCTGGTCTCATCCCAGGGCGTCAAATACCGATGCTTTGAGAAAGCCTGACAAATTGTTCGTATTTGAAACACAAGGTATCTTTCAGCGTCCGTATGAAATGCACTGGGCTTTCAAGTAACACACTCACCAAGCAACCATAGTTTTGGTGCCTAAACCTAACCAAAACCATGATCTTTTCCTAAACCTTACCAAACTGCATCGATTCCACATATTAAAAACGCGTCTTGTACAAATGCTGAAGGGTACTTTGTGCGTCAAATACTGATGCCTTTTCAGGCTTTCTCAAAGCGTCGGTATTTGAAGCGAGATGAGAACATGTTGGCTTCTTCAATTCTGACTGACTGGCAGGAAGTTGTGGTCGTTGGAGTCACCTGAGGCCAAATGTGAGTGTTTAGTGTCCTGGGGAGAGATGAACCACTGGGAGGACAGATGGTTCGAAAGAGGATTGAAAGAGGCCATTTACACCAGAATAGAGAGACCGTCACTGAACAGAGGAGGTCTGAGACACCACTTATCCCCCACCTACAATGCTGTCCTTTCATTTCTTCCCAGTAAAACAAATACTCACATGTGACCTCATGTGACAATGCTAACAACAGTCGTTTAAACTTGGCTTCAGGTGACTCTAACCACCACAACGACGGTCGTTACAACAGTCAGGAGCACTGACGAACCGGGCGGTATCCATCACCTCGATAACGACCCCACAGAGGTTAAATAGCTGGGACTCCCTGCCAGTCAGTCAGAACTGAAGAAGCCTCTTGGATGAGAGTTGAAACGTCTTTGAGAATCTTCAACAAAGTCCAGTTGCCCTTGATATTAACCTTCCTTGGATATATCATACAAAATTCTCAGAATTAGTAATTATGAGAACAATTTTTAAATTATGAGATCTGCATCTCCAGAGATCTGTGAAAAACAGTAAAAATTCTCATAATTATGTGAACGAGAAAACGTTTCCATATCTTTATCTGGTAATTATGAGATGAGTCTTTGTTGAATGCATTATGCTTACGTTCATTCCTGACAGCCTCGATTTAGGGGTTAAGTTAAAAGTTGTTAAGCCGTGTCAGTTTAAAGAACATTTTCCTCCTGGTTTAATTTGATTAGAAAAAATGTCAAATTAGTTTTAGATTTATCTGCGTCGGCATTCACATGGTCCAAATAATCAGGTTAATTTTAGTTGGGGATGCAAAATGGCGCAGCAGAAAGGGACTTGTAGAGACATAGCAGTAGACTCTGTGCTGTTTGGTTAGATGATGTATTGTCATTGTACCTCTATATCATAACCTCTGTATGACCTTTTATATACAAAACAAATAACTGTAGAATACATGTATTTATATCTACTTGTGATGAACTGATGTTAACGAGAGTGTCAACTGACAAGCAGCTGACAGTGAGAAATGGTTTGTTGCAAAAAATCACTAAATCTAAAATGTCAGGCTCTCAGAACATCATCGCATCGCTTCCTGCGCATTTTCTTCTTCTTGATGGTTCTTATTGTCCTCTACAGTTTTTAATAAAACATTAATTGGTAAATTCCTGGAAGCACTGTAGCTTATTCTAAATCAGTCCCAAATACACCATCCTGCTGGCCCAAAAACTCACTAGAGCACCACATGTGGATTCATCCGCCGCTGAAAATAGTCCCCAACAAATGCACTATTTCCTCCTGTTTATTTGACAGAAACATACTGAAGCAGAGCAGGATCCCAACATGATAACGACCCCAAACACACCTCCGAGACGACCACTGCCTCGCTAAAGAAGCTGAGGGTAAAGGTGACGGACTGGCCGAGCATGTCTCCAGACCTGAACCTAATGAGCATCTGTGAGGCTCCTCAAACAGAAGGTGGAGGAGCTCAAGGTCTCTAACATCCACCAGCTCCGTGATGTCGTCATGGAGGAGAGGAAGAGGACTCCAGAGCCAACCTGAAGCTCTGCTGAACTCCAGGCCCAGGAGGGTTAAAGCATCACTGGAAAATAACGGTGGCCCCACAAAATATTGACACTTTGGGCCCAATTAGGACATTTTCACTGAGGGGTGTACTCACTTTAGTTGTCAGCGGTTCAGACATTAACGGCACAGCAAATTTACACTGTTATACAAGCTGCACGCTCACTACTTTACACCGTTATACAAGCTGTACGCTCACTACTTTATACTGTTATACAAGCTGCACGCTCACTACTTTATACTGTTATACAAGCTGCACGCTCACTACTTTACACTGTTATACAAGCTGTACGCTCACTACTTTACACTGTTATACAAGCTGTACGCTCACTACTTTACACTGTTATACAAGCTGCACGCTCACTACTTTACACGCTCACTACTTTACACCGTTATACAAGCTGTACGCTCACTACTTTACACCGTTATACAAGCTGTACACTCACTACTTTACACCGTTATACAAGCTGCACGCTCACTACTTTACACGCTCACTACTTTACACTGTTATACAAGCTGTACGCTCACTACTTTACACCGTTATACAAGCTGCACGCTCACTACTTTACACGCTCACTACTTTACACTGTTATACAAGCTGTACGCTCACTACTTTACACTGTTATACAAGCTGCACGCTCACTACTTTACACGCTCACTACTTTACACTGTTATACAAGCTGTACGCTCACTACTTTACACTGTTATACAAGCTGTACACTCACTACTTTACACCGTTATACAAGCTGCACGCTCACTACTTTACACGCTCACTACTTTACACTGTTATACAAGCTGTACACTCACTACTTTACACTGTTATACAAGCTGCACGCTCACTACTTTACACGCTCACTACTTTACACTGTTATACAAGCTGTACGCTCACTACTTTACACTGTTATACAAGCTGTACGCTCACTACTTTACACGCTCACTACTTTACACTGTTATACAAGCTGTACGCTCACTACTTTACACTGTTATACAAGCTGCACGCTCACTACTTTACACTGTTATACAAGCTGCACGCTCACTACTTTACACGCTCACTACTTTACACTGTTATACAAGCTGTACGCTCACTACTTTACACTGTTATACAAGCTGCACACTCACTACTTTACACTGTTATACAAGCTGCACGCTCACTACTTTACACTGTTATACAAGCTGCACGCTCACTACTTTACACTGTTATACAAGCTGTACGCTCACTACTTTACACTGTTATACAAGCTGCACGCTCACTACTTTACACTGTTATACAAGCTGTACGCTCACTACTTTACACTGTTATACAAGCTGTACGCTCACTACTTTACACTGTTATACAAGCTGTACGCTCACTACTTTACACTGTTATACAAGCTGCACGCTCACTATTTACACTGTAGTGTCATTTCTTCAGTGTTGTCACATGAAAATATAATCAGATATTTACAAACAAGTGAGGGGTGTTCTCACTTTTGTGAGATACTGTATGTTACTGTGTGTTAAATATTCCATGTCTGAAATCTGTTTTATGGGATACAGCTGACAAAATCTGCAATTTCAAATTTAAAGCCTTTCTGATGGCCATAATCCTTCTTTTTCTCTGGAAGGCTTTTAATGTTAAACAGACATAAATTGCTGATAAATAAACAACAATAAATTAATAAATAACAACAGAGCGGTGAGTATGACCTGTTGTACTGAGAATTTCTCAAAACTAGAATCAGCTGGAGAAAAGTAAAGATAAAGTGAGAGTGATTAACAAGACACAAAGCAATAAAGATCCCGTCAGGCATCAAGAGTACACTGAACAATCCTTTTCTTTATTCATTTTTTGTTATCATTTCAATATGTCTGTCAGGGTTTGTTTTTTTAAAGTTTTTATTTTAAATTAAAATTTTGACACACTTATAAAAGACAGCATCTGCATAGAGTTGTCATCTTAAAGATCCATGAAGAGAGAGAGAAGAGGGGGAGGGAGGAGAGAGAGAGCAAGAGAGAGAGAGAGAAGGGGGGAGATAGTGGGGGTGGTGGAGGAGGGGGGGAGGGGCAAAAGGGTAAAGTAGGGTGGAGGGGAATACTGGCACGTCACATGAACTAAACAGAACAGCCAACAGCAGTACGAGAGAGGGGGAGGAGGGGGGAGACAGGGTTGGAGGTGAGGGTGGGGGGTCGGGAGGGGGTTTTAGAGGGGGCGGGCTGAGAGGGGAGGGGAGGGGGGGACAGATCGCTTTTACATTACGCTACGCACACATACACACACACAAAAAAAACGGGACACAAGTTGCATTTCCGGTCAAAGTTGCGTGTGAATTGCGATGGCTCTGTCCTCTTTTTGTTTAGTAGTTTTTTAAATTTTAGGAAATATTTTCAGTCTCTCGCCTGCCATTTCCCCCGATATATAGCTTCTTTCTTTATTTGTCCATGTGCACTAAAAAACATAGGGGTTTGTCCTTCTTCTAGAGTCTTACTGACGCTCCAGAAGGTCCCGTGTTTATGGCATCTAAAATGGGTGATTTCGTCAAAGGAGTTCCTGCAGGAGGTCTGAGTGTACCGGCCGGGCCCGAACGCCTCTGCATGATAAAGAAAGCCCTTGTTTCTCTGTATATTGCACGCTTTGTTACGGTAGGCCTGTGTGAGGCTAGAGACGGGGCCCGAAATTAGGTGGCGACTCTGAGACGGCCGTGTTCCTCAAACCGCGTCGAAGGCGTAAAGCTGCACTCGGACTACATTCAGACAGACCTGAGCTACTATTGTGAGTCTGACCAGGTAAAACCCACAAAGATTGTTTCCCTTTCAGAGATCCACAAGTAGCTTAAATCTGTTTGTCGCAAAGACTTCGAGATTCAAATGTCTGTATGACCTTCGAGTGGTCTCTTGTGCCTCGACACCTTTGAGAAACTGATGCTAAGACCTCCAGGAACCGGATGAGGAACCAGAGATGTAACATAGAAGGAAGACTGTGGTGGCGTTTTGAGGTACGTCAGGACGGCTGAGTGGATGCAGAAACACATTACGTGATTTTTAAAACTGGCTTGGGCCTCATTTTCCAAAAGCATTTTAAGGCTTGTGATCTCACCCCATAGACTGACAACGGGACCGAGATCATGTTAAAAACTGCTTTTGGGGAACCGTCCTCAGATCTGTCCGTTGTTGCACCGACAGGGTCAGATTGTGGTTTGGTTGCTGTTAACACGAAGACCAAGGAGAAGATCAGTTAGAAATCCCATCTTGTGTGTCTTACGTTCATTATAGCCAAAGGCTCTGCAGTAGCTGATGGATGTGCGGTTTTACTGATTTACTACTCAACTGACCCAATAAATTGTAATGGTGGGATTGTTTTGTCCGACAGCCTTGACAGGTATAAGCAGCGTGGCTCTGCGGCACTTCTTTGCCACCGATATTCAAATTTGGCGCCATCTTGGAGCTGCTTATGCCAATCAAACTGTTAGCAGTCTAGCAGGCGGATGTTAGCGCAGTTAGAGTATGTGGGCACTTGCATCTCATGATCTGGCTACTAACTTGTGGAGCACGTCAGGGTTTTTCAGGACTGAGTGTAGGCTACACTCTGGGGGAACAGGCAGGTGAAGAGACCAGGTTTTAGGTATGTAGTTTGGCTAGCTAGCTGTGGTTGAGAGACAACGTCCGACAGAGAGAGAGAGAGTTCGGAAACCCGCTAACAGTGCTTCCGAAGTGATCATGGGGCGTGGCTTGGAAAGCCCTGGAGGCGGGGTTAATTTTCCTAATATGGAGGGAAGCACTTTCATCAGAGGAGCCAGTGGGTGGAGCCTCTGGAACTGGGGTGATGGGCGGAGGTGTGGTTGTGGCTGCGTTTACACCCACAAAGGCAAAGATTTGTCGATTTTAATACCTGCCGACACACGAGATCTTTACATTTCCTTCTAAATGGATTTGTCAGAAGTGTTTCAGACAGAAATGAAGAGACCAAAAAACAAAAAGGCACGGCAGTGAAAAACACTGTCATACATTTTTCTTCCACACGTGTGAAAGTGTGATTTGGGCAGGCTGGTGTAAACACAGCGTCTGAACTGAGCATGACGGACGAGGACGCTCGAAGCTACGTTTCTCTTCCTCTCTGTTCATTGTCTCTCACCCACGGAGAAAGAACAAAAGGACTGTGGAGACAGGAGGGGCGGAGGTGAGGACGGGCGACGTTTGAGGGGGAAGCGAAAGAGGCAAAAAAGGACAGAGATCGAACTACTTGTCAACTTTGACGGGAATAGATATCTCAGTAGATTTATACATAGACATGCAAGTCATTTTTTCTCTCTTTGAAGTTATTTACAATAATTACATAACACAAAGAATCCAGTTTCAGTTTGACAAAATTGCGAGCATTCAATATTCAATATAACTACTATTACTTATGATAACATAACTCCTTTTGTACTTCTTTAAATCATTGCTATTATAGAATCGTCATAACCTCCCTTTTTTATGTTTGTTTGATCACTTTGTGTGAAGCCGTTCGTTCTTCTTCTGGGTTTTTGCAAATGTTTTACTGCATTTTTATCTGTCATTTATGGTAATAATAATAATAACAATAATAATGATAATGTTATTTAAGTGTCTTTCCTACTTGCTATGGCAGAGACCGGGTGGGTGTGGTCTGTCTTGTTGGCCCCTCCCTCTGACTCCTCCCACCCCTCCCACTAGGGAAAAAAACACTGATACAAACTGAAATACTGTCTCGTACGATGAAGAGAGCAGAAAGACATATGGGTGGAGCTTCACATAAAAAAAAACAAAAAAAACAGTTCATATCAAATTGCAGCTGCTATTGCCGACAAGAGCAGCATGAAGCCACAATTAAACAAACATTTTCATTTTAGCATCATCCAGAGCAGGGCACTGAACAGGGTTTTGGTTTTTGAAAATTCTTTCAGGAAGACAAAAATCATCGTAGAGAAGAGTTTAATCGTCCGACAGCGGAGGAACAAAAAAGCACGATTAACTTTGAACCTGGTGTCTGCAGACGCTGTGCTGCTGGTTGACACTGACAAAGTAATTTTCAGAAATAATAGAGCGTATTGTGCCCACATACACACACACACACATTAGTTTTGTGTGTTAAAATAACCTCAAATTACAGGAACTCAGGAAGTCATTTTTCAATACTTTTGTGAAACAATACGCCACACACAGGCTAATGGCTAACGGCTAACGGTAAGTCAATCTTTGGAGTCTTGGTGTCGCACCCAAACTCTGTCCGGATGATTTTTTCCTGCTTTCTGTACCCCACTCTGACAAAAACTGTACACAGCCAACAGAAGCAGTGATGGCTACACAGCCACATAATACAGTTATAGAAATGCAGTATGTTGGTGTAAGATTTATATATATATATTCTTCCCTATATATGTGAGTTCAGTTGACAAGGTTGCAGTCTGTTCTCACACATAGGAAAATGCTCGCTGTAGGTTTACGGGGACTTGCTAGCTCGCAAATGTTCCGCTAACCGCTAACGCAGCTGCCAGAACAGTTAATGTAATATTATAGCTAGGGCAAAATAAACGGAGTAGAGTGCAGTTAATGAGTTAAAGAAAGTAACTGACGCTGCAGTCGTGGTGATCCCGATGAGCACAATTACAACAAAGCAGTGTTAGCTAGCACTGTTTCATCTTAATTATTGTCATTTGCACAGCTAAACACAAACAATGTAGAGAGGGGTTGCAATAAAAGAGGCGTTGGTTGGTTGGCTTTAAGCCTTTAAGCTTTTAAACAAAATCCTTTGTGGCCGTCCGGCTAGCAAAACCTTAAAACCCGCAGGGAAGCATCCATCCTGTAGTGTGAACACAGAGACTGATAAACAAGAGGTACAGAAAATGACACCAAAATAACAAGAATAACAGCAATTAATAAATAGAATAAGAAAGCACCACCGTTGTCTCCGTATATGCCTCAAGTGGAGGAGAAGCGTACATATGCAAATTTTATCACGGATGATTATGCGTCATATTTTTCCACTTATCAGATCACAAGCTAACATCTACAGGTGAAAAGGAAAGTGGGGTGTGGAGGCAGACATCGTTGTGGTGACGTGAGATTACTGTTGGAAAGCTTTGTGGGTTTGATTGGCGGACAGACCAACATGCAGTGAGGGCTGGTGGTGGGCAGGGGTGGGGCTGGGCTTTTGTTTTTAAAGTTAGGGTAGCATTTAATGTTTTTTATTATATATTTTTTCACCATTTGTGACAAACATCTCAGTGTAAACTTTACTCGCATTGTGCTCTTTGATATTAGCGGCGAACATTTTGAGAACACATGAGGGGGAGGGCAAAAAATGCTTTGGTTTAAATTTTAATAAATATAACAATAACAGTGATCATGGCGTCCGGAAATGTGTCTGATCTCGTCCCATTGGTCACAATTTTCAAAAAACAAAGTTCAAAATTCATCGAACGGCTGCGATCCACGGACCTGCGATTGGATGCTTTGCACATCACAACAAAACTTGTGCTGCTCCAAAACACACACACATTCACGCATTTATGCACCAATCTTGTGTCACTGAAGAGGACGGGAGGCATGCTGCACACACACAAGACCGGGCGGAGGGACAACTGGAGGTTAGCCCAACAATAATTAACGTTTGCGGGGACAGTTCCTCCACAAAAACACAACACAAATGCATCCGTGGAAGCAAACAAACACAGGGAACAGCTGATAACGGTGGTGTGTAACCTAGCGGGAGGGTTTGAGGGGGGGGGGGGGGGCAGAATGGCTGAAGTCGACGGCAGCGTATTTGAAAATTTAGCCTCCTCGTTAAAAATCCAGTTCCAACAATGTTACAAAACAAAGCACTTGTTGACATGTAGTGCCAACTTTTTAAAGATAAAAAAATCGAGAATGCAGATTAAGGAACGAGTAAAGTAGTTAGCTAACGTGCTAACGTGCTAACCAAAGACAGGTCCGATGAACGGTAAAGTGCACGACATGGAGGGCAGGTTGGGGGTGGGGGACAAAAAACACCATCATGCAAACTCCACAACGCTTTTGCATGCCGTTTTTATTATTATTGTTATCATTATTACACACAACAGGATGGGCGGGGTCTGCTAGGAAGGGAAGGGGCAGACTCCCGATCCTCAACGCCGTCTTTTTGTACAACCAAACGAATACTACACAAACGGGGGGAGAGAAGACAAAAGGACAGGGGGCCGAATACTCGGACAAACTTCCTAACCTTCGCCGACTTGTTTAATTAACGTCTTTGTGGTTTTGGGACGTTTGTCCATGTTTTCTTTCCCAAGAGGATGGCGGCAGGACCTGATGGATGGCTGCCATACAGGAACAGGAACTTTACAGAAAACACACACACACACACACACATACACACAGCAAAGAAACATCAGTGTCAACAAGCTGGCTGGTGCTACGACGGCATCCCGGCGTCTTAAATCCACCGCGATCACCACCGCCTTAACCCTTGCAAGACTACCGCGTCGACCGTGACGTTACCATCGACCACCGAGAACATGTAATCGATTGAAATATTATGTGGCTCACTTTATGATGTAACTGGCAGATGATAAATGAAGGGCTGTGATTGGTAGGGGTGTGTAATGTACTGACAGCCAACGGGCAATTCAGTTTAGCTTCTGTTAATTCCCTCATTACATGTCTGTGTATTGTAATCTCAAAAAATAAAGCAGAGCTCTAAAAACACAGTTATAAAAACAGGGGCAAACATTATTTGATATTTAGTGTTTGTATTACAGTCTAAAAACCACTAAAGCACTTATAAAGTCAGAACGTAGCCATGAACAACACAACAGCAGAAAAAGTGCTAAATTATTCTACATCTACTGACAAACATCTATTGGATTTGGCTGCTTGGAGGGACTGGGGGTCATTTTTTAAAGCTTTGGTGAACACAGAAGTGAAGTTTTGGTTTTGGGAATTCAAAGAATAAAATAAAAACTCCCACCTTTACTCTTCTCCAAACCTGAAGCTAAAAATCCTCTCTATACAGCGTTACGGACATAGACAGCTAACAGCGCTAACTACTGCAACGACTCCCAAGAAAACACACACATATTCAACAAAGCAAGGACTACTTCCTCACGTCTACACATCGCCCCGGCAGCCAGAAGTATTGTTAGAATAAGCAGCTAACATGAAGCCGTGGCGTCAACTGTTCGCTAACAATACTTGTCAAGCAACGCGTCACGTTAGCTTCCTGTCAGAGCAACAGAGATGCAGAGTGAACGGCATGTTTTCTAACACAGTTGTTCTTCTTTTGAATTGATAATTCAGTCCATCCAAGCCCTTAAGTGTTTCAGCTGTCAGCCATTAAACGAATGAAAGGAAAACCCCGGATGCCCAAAACAAATCTGTCCACTTTGCAGCTCTGCAGCCTCTAAATCTGGGGGCAGAATCTAACCACAGCAAGCTAGCTAAAACCTTTTCTGTCAAATGAAACTATATATATAACTATAACAAACTGTCTTTATTGCTTTGACACCAAGTGAAGTGTAGTGTTAGTATTTGTGTTGATTGTTACCCTGAACGTGACTGTGATGCATGTATTGCCCAGCGTAGGCCTCAACAGAAGCAGACTACCTCCGTATCACAGAGCCTGTACATGGACAGACCTTCCTCCTTAACCCGCCCCAAGTCCAAAAACAGAGACACGACACTGTGGAGTCATTTTCAACACACCCGTGTGTCCAGTTTGGGGGCAACACACACATTGGTGTTATTGTCAAGACAAACCACATTAACGTTAACAAAACTAAACATTCTTGTACAACATATATGCATGATGTCCCATTCTGGAGCAGTGTTGAGGTTTACTCAGATTACTGTTTCACTCAGTCAGGACTAGCTTATCTCAAGTTAGCGTGTTAATTTCGGTCATAGCTTCATTTGTGTAAAAAACAGTAGTAGTGAAAGTCCAGTATTTTAGTGCAGACGTACCGCCAACTGCTAATTCTAACACAATCTGATGATCAGTAAACACATTTCAAAACAACAATTGACATGATCTACTTTATGTATATTGCTACATGTTTGTTAAAGGGGAAGAAATAATTGTACTAACCAGCTATTAGCTTACTAGTTCCTTCCAAGACTTTCAACCACCATTGGGGGATGATGAAGACTGAGAACTCTGGAAAAAAGCTAATAAGTGAAATTTGTTTTGAGATTATTTTTGCCAAACTGTAATTTCCAAAGTCAAGAATGAACTTTCACACTTCCCATCTTATTCCTTAAGTTTCATTCTTTAACCCCAACACTGGTCTGGACACACGGAAAGCGTCTTTAGCATTAGTAAAAGAGCATAAAGATAAAGATCAGTCTGCAAAAATAACTTTTACATGATCTACACGTATCACGAGCTAATTCTATAGCATGCTAAGCGACCCAGTCTAACACAAGCACGGGCATGACGCGGGAAAGTTAAAAGTGTGTATGTTTAGGGGGGATTTTCAGTGTGTCAGTGTGAAGAGTTAAACGTGTAGAAGAGGCGTTCGTGCATGTGCTATGTCGTGAATGTATGTCAATGTGTGTGTGTCACATGTTCCACCTTCCACAGAGAAAATCCACCAATAGGAAAGAGCCTCTCCTGTTCAACCGCACCTGTGAAACTCAGGCTTTTTAATAAATGGTGTGAATTTAAACATCACAATCCGCAAAAACACACACACACACACTCAGGCAGGAGATGGAGGGATGCAGGGAGGAAACAGGCAAACTGCTAAATGATGTCAGGCCGATACGTCACGGGACAACGTCACGCACGCACTAAAACAGCAGCACCACGGAACAACAAAGCAGCAAACGTTCCCCATTAAAGAACAGAAAAGCAACAGCAGTACCACAACACTCAGGCGAAACAGGGCACGCCGGCATCTTCAGCGTTTTCTACGTTATCTGTCCGTTTCGTTTTTTTGTCTCGCTTGTTTGTTCGTTTTATTTTGTTATGCTTTACTTTTACTTTTTAATGTGTTCTCTTCATTTTTTAGAATCTTCCGGAAGATCAGTCGTGACGGCTTGGAGATGACACCCGGCCCCTAACTACGATATTTCTACAGCGATCTGTGCGATGAGCCTTCTGGTGCGGTAACGTGAACCCCCGATCCTCATTGGCTATCTTGGGTGGGGGAGGCGGGACAAGTCGTCTTCCTCTTATCTAAACTGCATAGATTGACTGTCCGTCTCCTCCCATCCGCCTTTAAACCCTCCTCCTTCCCCCCCTTCCTTCCCACCGTTCACCTGTCAGTCAAACGTCATGTTTTCTGCCGACGGCCAATCGAATTCAGCATGAAAACCAGAGGCCCTCCCTCCCCCTGCTCTTTGGTTGGATAGGTGTGACAAGATGGGGAGGTTGTTATCGTGGAAACCTGCCACGTTGCAATGACATCCCCCGCCCCCCCCCGCACACACTAACACACACACACACACACACACACACACACACAGTGTTTTCCCAACCAATCGGCTGGCTGTGAAACACGGTTTGTCGGGCAACGTGTCACGCTCTTTCCTTTGTCTTTTTTTAAAATGGCGTGTGGCAGGTCGGGCTTTGCCAGTCTTAGCTAATTACATAGGCTGACTGAGGTGAATGACAGGAGCGAGCAACCAATGAGAGGTGGTCTAAAGAGGCGGCTGAGCCAACAGCGAGGTCGGTCCCTCCCTCCCTCCCTCCCAGAATCACAGGGACAAAGCTGGTTCTGGCAAAAACCAGAGGGCGCTCGCCCTGCAGGACGGCGTTCTGGAACCTCACCTCTGTTCCGAGTTCTGGAGCTCCCGAACGTTCTGACAGAGCGGAAAACGTTTGTCCTCAAGTAGGACCGCATGTTCTGTGATGCTCTGGAACGTGCTCCGTCCCAGAACGTCTTACTGGGAAATAAACCTAAGAAACTTAACGGACGGATTAAAGGTTCGGTTCTGGAACGCTCGTCCTGCGGAGCTCCCACCCAGCAGCGGTCACCATCACTGTCCTCGGAGACTCCCGAAAAAACGAAAGAAAGTGTTAAAAAATAAGAAAAAAGGCAAAACAAACAAACAAACAAACAAGTAAATGTCATATTAGAGGTCATCATTTTTACAGGTAGCTAACCCACATGTTGCTTCATATGTTCAATACATTTACATGTACATCTGTAATAAATAGTAAGATTATTTGTACCCTCTTTTTGTGTATGTCATGTATTTAAGTCAGCTATAATGTGATGGCATTTTTATTGTTTTTTTTTTGTCTTTGTTTTTTGAACCCCACCCAACCCCACGGTGTTTCCTCTTATCTGTGATTGGACTGTTATCGCTTCCTAGCTGATTGGTTATCTGTCTTGCATTTGTGTTTCAAGTTTTTGTGTTGTTGTTGTTGTCGTTGTCTGTGTTTCTTTTCTCTGCTGGCGGTCGGACGGTCGGTCGGTGTCGGTTGTCACAGCGGCAGGTTGGTGGAGCATCGTCTTAGAAGCCCAGCGTGCCGCCGATGGTCGACGCCAGGACCACGCCCAGAATGACGCAGCAGATGATGATCATGATCTTCTTCTGCAGGGCGACAGGAGAGACACGGGTTGGTAAAGAATTTATTTAATTTCCTCACATTTACTAGAAAACTGTTTGACATTAGTTCAAAGCGTTCTAAAGTCATTCAGTTTGCATGATTGTTAGATCAGCAGCTGAATGAGTGGCGGGCTCCCATGCCTGGTGCACACTAGAGGATTTAGGGATACGTAGGATACCACAGTTTTACAACAGAATGAACCCATTTTTTATATTTTAATCTTAAGAACGCACACACTAGACAATTCAGTCCAGACCAGGACCACACACTTTGTAAATACCAAATATTTAAGATTTGAACCTCCGATCCAGTCGGCAACCTTAAGATAATGTCTGTAAACCCCTCACATTACAGGATCATTTGGGCTGATAATCTATTCAGACTAAGCAGGAACCTCCGGCTCTGAAAAGTGAAACCAGTGCTGAAGCACCTTAAACCTCCTCTCTAGCGGCCAGCAGGGGGCGACTTAAACCTGCGTCCTCTCTAGCGGCCAGCAGGGGGCGACTTAAACCTGCGTCCTCTCCAGCGGCCAGCAGGGGGCGACTTAAACCTGCGTCCTCTCTAGCGGCCAGCAGGGGGCGACTTAAACCTGCGTCCTCTCTAGCGGCCAGCAGGGGGCGACTTAAACCTGCGTCCCCTCTAGCGGCCAGCAGGGGGCGACTTAAACCTGCGTCCTCTTTAGCGGCCAGCAGGGGGCGACTTAAACCTGCGTCCTCTCTAGCGGCCAGCAGGGGGCGACTTAAACCTGCGTCCCCTCTAGCAGCCAGCAGGGGGCGACTTAACCCTGCGTCCTCTCTAGCAGCCAGCAGGGGGCGACTTAAACCTGCGTCCTCTCTAGCAACCAGCAGGGGGCGACTTAAACCTGCGTCCTCTCTAGCGGCCAGCAGGGGGCGACTTAAACCTGCGTCCTCTCCAGCAGCCAGCAGGGGGCGACTTAAACCTGCGTCCTCTCTAGCGGCCAGCAGGGGGCGACTTAAACCTGCGTCCTCTCTAGCGGCCAGCAGGGGGCGACTTAAACCTGCGTCCCCTCTAGCAGCCAGCAGGGGGCGACTTAAACCTGCGTCCTCTCTAGCAGCCAGCAGGGGGCGACTTAAACCTGCGTCCTCTCTAGCAACCAGCAGGGGCGACTTAAACCTGCGTCCTCTCTAGCAACCAGCAGGGGGCGACTTAAACTTGCGTCCTCTCTAGCAACCAGCAGGGGGCGACTTAAACCTGCGTCCTCTCCAGCAACCAGCAGGGGGCGACTTAAACCTGCGTCCTCTCTAGCAACCAGCAGGGGGCGACTTAAACCTGCGTCCTCTCTAGCAACCAGCAGGGGGCGACTTAAACTTGCGTCCTCTCCAGCAACCAGCAGGGGGCGACTTAAACCTGCGTCCTCTCCAGCAACCAGCAGGTGGCGACTCCACTGGCTGCAGAAAGAAGTGTGATTGTATAGAAGTCTGTGAGAAAATGTTTCTACTTCTCAGCTGATTTATTCCCTCAGTAAACACTTTCCTGATGAGTTTATGGTCTCAGTCGCTAGTTTCAAGTCTTCTTCAACACAGCATGATGTTCATTTAGTAAATTATGGTCCCGTTTAGAGGAACAGAGACCAGGAAGCAGGGGAGGCTTTAGGGCGGGGCTACAAGCTGATTGACATGGCGATCTGTCATTCAGGATTGAAGCGACTTGTATCCGCTGCTCTGTGTACATTTATCCAGCGCCACTGAAAAGGTTACTACTAGCAGATTATTTAGATTATTAGGAGTCGGCAGTTCATATTTCCGATATGTACGTTTTGCTTTAAGCCTGTTTGTCGCTAGCCAAAATTTGCAGGTAATATCACAGTTAACATGAATTACACCTTGCGAAACAAGCTAGCTAGCTCCACCCTTTCGTCCGCTGCCTGGTTCCAAAAAAACAAGGTGGCGAAAACCGAAATGTCAAATTCGCGGCTTCAGAACGCTAGCCCACAAACCGATGGGTGACGTCACGGTGACTATGCCCACTTCTTTTATACAGGCTATGGTTCTGGCCAGCCTCAGCTCAGGAACGCCCCCGTGATTGTCGGTAGGGTGAATCAGACCCTACATCGCCCCTCTAGTGTGCGGCCAGCATTACAGCAAAGTTTTCTGGGAGTCATCGTTGTCTTCTCTGCTATATGGACACAGTTTTTTTAAGAAACACGTTACCTTGCGGGCCTGGCTCTGGTATTTGACGGCCTTCTTGGTGTCGGATACGGCTCGCTCCACGTAGTCGACGGAGTGCTCCACGTTGTACTCAATTCTGTCAATCATCTCTCCCTTAAAACAAACACACATCACAAAGGTTAACATGCGAAGCCCAAACGGTCTTTGACGTGTAGCCACACTAATTTCCACGTCACGTACCTGGCTCTCGACCAGCATGGCCATGTCGACGAACATGTCGTGCAGTTCACGGATGCTGTTTTCCAGCTTGATGATCTCGGTGTGTCGGGTCTCGATCTCGTTCAGAGCCTGCTTGGTCATCTGAGAGTCCATTTTGATCTGCAGCACAGGTTGGGTTTTATTTTACTCTGACAGCTTGACATGAAAGGAGAAAACCACTGAAATAAATCCAAAAATGACCAACAAAAAAAGAAATATACAACCTCTTTTCTGGCTCTGTGTAAACACTCAGTTTTAGCTCCTGTCTCTGTGCAGCTAGCCGGCATGTCAGTTCCATGTACTGAACTCTTTTTATTCAACTATGCCAAGGTTTTCCATTCTACAGCACCTTGAAGGCAATGTCAGACTAATCAGTTAAAACAAATGGCTTCTTTACAGTAAAAAATAAAATGAATAAGATAATACTGTAAATTCTCAAATAATATAAAATAATAATAGCAGCAGCTGGGGTTGGCCAGCACATACTATTAAGAGCCTGTTGCACTGAGTTTCTTTTTAAACTAAATTATATTAAACTAACAGTTTTCATTATTCGCTATTTATATCTATTTATAGTTGCTGTTTTTTCGATCTCAGTACCCTCAGTGACATTCTTTCAGACTTCCTGCAGTTACAAATTAAAAGCCTACCAAGAAAGGGAGGGTTACACCCTTTGAACCTCTGGAATGCTTTTAATGTGAAAAATCCTTGCAGGAAGTTTTGAGTTTCTTTGATTGCAGCTTGATAGTAGAAAAAGTTGGAGGATTTGTGTCTTCAGTCCACCTTCTCCCAGCAGAACGCCTCCCTAAATGTTTTGGACATGAGGTCACATGACACTCAAGTCATCTACCTTGCTTGTGGCATCAGCAAACAGTGAGCACTCAGGCTACATCCCGACTACTATGCTTTTGGACATGTTGATCGTTTTTGTTTCAAACTGTATTAAAAGACTGAAAATGCACATCTAGCCGTAGTGTGGAAGTTCTAGGTTATGGTTAGGGCTTTAGGATCCTGGGAGCTTAGATACGCTCCCACGTGACCCACCCTGAGGTCATGTGATTTCAGCTTTGGCCAGTAGCAGTGGCACTGCACATATCTGAGCTTTTAATTTGAAGGAGCGAATGATAATGTGAGATGGCTCCATCAAAATAAGAGCTTTACGGTGCAGCGACTTGCTCACACGTCCTCCCATCATCCTCCCAGTTGACATATGACAAAGGCCGTGTTCACTTGATGTCTCAGCGCACCTCGTGGCCATTCTCCATCCCCAACAGGTAATTATAATCAATAAGGGATGCCGAATGGCTCAGGGTAAAGTGGCCCTTGCAGCAGGGCTCAGGTGCGTTGCTTACATCATCGGTGAAGATGGCCAGCTTGCCACTCTCCAACATGTCCTCCAGCTCCTCGTTGGTGGTGGTTCTCCCAGCTGCAGACAGAACACAGAGAAAGAACGTTAGAACACCTGAAGCATCAGTTCAGTCACACGGCATGTCATGTGACACACGGCACGTCATGTGACACACGGCACGTCATGTGACACGTTGCTGGTCATGTAGTTGCGTGTAGTATGTTGTGTAGTCTCTTGTATGTTGTGTGTAGTATGTTTAATGTTGTGTGTAGTATGTTGTGTGTTGCGTGTAGTATGTTGTATGTAGTATGTTGTATGTTCTGTGTAGTGTGTAGTATGTTGTGTAGTCTCTTGTATGTTGTGTGTAGTATGGAGTATGTTGTGTGTTGTGTGTAGTATGTTGTGTGTTGCGTGTAGTATGTTGTATGTTCTGTGTAGTGTGTAGTATGTTGTGTAGTCTCTTGTATGTTGTGTGTAGTATGTTTAATGTTGTGTGTAGTATGTTGTGTAGTCTCTTGTATGTTGTGTGTAGTATGGAGTATGTTGTGTGTTGTGTGTAGTATGTTGTGTGTTGCGTGTAGTATGTTGTATGTAGTATGTTGTATGTTCTGTGTAGTGTGTAGTATGTTGTGTAGTCTCTTGTATGTTGTGTGTTGTGTGTAGTATGTTGTGTTGTTGTCATGACCCTGTCTGTGTTTCCTGTTGGGGAGTCTGGGTTTTAGTTCCGTGTCTTTAGTTCATATCTTAGTACTTGCTCCTGGTTCTTGTGTACATTATTTTGGTTAGTCTCCTCTGTACTCTGTGTTCTAATTCTGTGTTCTCGTTTAGGTAGTGCCCCATGTCTGCCTGTCATGTGTTTTCTCTGTTTTCCCCTGCTCTCTCTCTCCCTGCCTCTGCCTCTTTAACCCTGATCCCTGTCACCTGTGTTGCTCCCGCCCTGCTCGTTAGTCCCTGTATATTTACCTGGTGTTTCTGCCTTGTCTTTGTCGGGTCATTGTATGTGGTTTATCCCAGTGTTGCTGTGTGTTTGTAGCGTTACCTGTTCTGTCTCGTCGTGCTTGGATTTTGGTTTCTGCATTGCACTTTGGACTACTTTGTTTTTGGACTTGCTATCAGCCACTCCACCTGTAAGTGTGCTCGCTTTTCGTTGCCTGAATAAATCATTGAACTGCATCAGTTGGTCTTGGTGTCCTGCGTTTGGGTCCTCCAACCTGCTCAACACTGCCTCATCACACCACTAAACTGTGACAGTTGTCTATGGTATGTAGTGTGCAGTAGGACTCACTGATCTCCAGCTGTCTCTGGATGCGGTCCTTGCAGCGGTCGCGGTACTTGGACTGCGTGGTGTTGTACTCAGTCATCACCTCCACAAACTTGCGTGACAGCGTCGAGTGCTGCAGCACAACAAGAAAGAGAGAAGAGGTAACTTCCTGTTTCTGGTATCAGAGATTCACACCAGGAGCTCACACACTGCGTCTGACTGACAGTCCGCTGCTTTTCACTTCAACATAGTTTGGAGAAACAAACACGTTACAGGTTTCTGCCATCAGCGCTGCGTTTGTGTTTTTCAGTTGTACCTGAAGGCACCTGGTTTAGATTTTTTGTGATGTGATTTAGTGTGAAACAAGACTTTACTCGGAGCAGCGATGGTGACTAACTGTTATCTGTGATGTTATACTAAAACCAATAGAAGAGATAAAATGGACAAGAGGGAGTACTCATTTAAAACTGAACCAATTAAATAAAAGAAATCATTAAATATCAATTGGGGTCAAAAGATGGAGAGGTTTATGATTATCAACTTTTTTTTTTTTTATTTAAACCTCCCACATGAAGTGCAGAATTAGAACATTTAGCATCTTTTATCATAAATTTAATGAATAAAAACTTGATCTGAAAGGTAACTAGTAACTCCAGCTGGCAGATAAATGTTAGTCAAATACAGTACTTGAGTAAATGTACTTTTCATCACTGTCCAAATGTCCACTTGGTCAAAGCTCAAGTAAGTTAACCAAAGTCCAGTCAAATCTGACAAATGTTTGTCATCAATGCAGATGCAATAATAGAAGGTAATAAGATCTATTGGTAAAATGTCTCATGTCCTTTTTATAGAAAGTGTTTGGAGGTGTCGGTGTGCTTGGTCCTCCACCAGGAGGCAGCAGGGAGCAGACTGGTGGGCGGCAGCAGCCAATGACAGAGCAGAATACTGCAGGGTAAAATATTTTCCTGGGCATTGTAGAAGTAAAGTACAGGTAGCTCATAAAGCTCTGCACATGCTCAGTAGGATGTTTCTCAGTGTGTGAGATGTGTTTGAGGCTCTCAGTTTCAGATGATGATCAGAGTGCGTGCAAAGGTTTAGATGCATGGAAGAAAACGGATCCCATGATAAATAAAGTTATTAAAAACCTTCTGAACAGAAATATTTAGCAGTGAAAACTAAATATATTCCCCCTCTGTCTTTGTTCAAGGTGTGGCCTTATTTGAACACCTGGACTGGTCTCACCTGTGTCTTGCGGATCCTGAGGTCCGCTGATGATCTGTTGAGACCCTCCTCCTGCTCGATGCTCTGCTCGATTGCTGCAGGAAGACACACACTTTACATTTCAGTCGATGCTCATATTGTGAAGGCTGCATTTACATATCATATGAAACCTCAATAATATTCCAATATCAATATACAGGGTTTAAAGAAACTGTGTTACTGGGTACTTTTGAAAGTAATACACACTAGAGAACAACACTCCTCCTCCTCCTGCTTGTGTCTCTGCCGGCTTGTAAATAATAAGACATCCATATTTAGTCATAGTTTGTTTTCAGGTTTGGTTCCTGAGAAAAGAACCACAGTGCTGGATTCACAGCTCAGTATTTAACCTGCAGCCTGGCCGCCTCCGCCTCCTCCTCACTCAGCTGGAGTTGTAATACTTCATTATTCCTCCAGGGAGATGCAGTTTAATAACCTGTGTGGATATTCTTGTCTGCAGGGCCGAGAGAGACGCTCGACGAGACGGTAACAACTACAAGAAACTGTCTATTTTGAACTCCGCTGTTTGAGGAAGTTAAGACTTGCATTAATTCATTGTGATGATTATTTGGGACTTTTCTCAGATGTGTGTGCAGATTGAGTTTGAGAGAAACTGTCTTCTTTTTAAAAAAAACAAACAAAACTTATGTAACACTAAAAATAATCAATGTTGACTTTTCGTTTCACACGGGAAACGAACACCGAGCTCCTGGTTTAAAGTCTAGTTTCTGAACCACCCCTCCACCCCAACCACTTCCTTACTTGGACACTTCTGCTTACTTTTAGCATTAAACAATAACACTAAAGGCTGCCATGCCCGTTGGTACCAGGCGCCGCAGGACATGGAAAAGCGTAGGTATTTGACGCCCTGGGAATGAAAACGCTCTGACAGACCTACAGGAGTGGGAGAGTAAATCTGTGGAAGTCTTTTAAATGTTGGTTTCATTGTGGCTGTACTGAACTCAGCAGCCTCTAGGGGGCGCTGGTAGGACTTTAAACCTGCAGCTCAGCTCCAGGTGAAGTCCTGGGAGGTGTGATGCAGACACACTGATAAAAGATGCACAGCTGGAACTGTGTGTGGACGCCATGGTAACCGGCTGCAGGTCTGTCCGGGTGTCATGTGACTCTGATGTCGGTTTGTCTGCTGCGAGTGATGAGTCGAGCTGAAACGCTTATATAATGTTTTCCATTGAGTGTGTGTGCTTCCTGGCTCGTGGCCCAGCTGCTCTCTGCTGGATCTACGATGACTCAGCAATATTACACAGCACTGATGGGGTGTGTGTGTGACAGTGAGGTAAGCAACAGATTGTGAGTCCGTGTGTGTTTGAGGACATCTTTAGCATCTTCAGTGATATTTGTTTGTTATGTAAGAACCGTGTTGATGAGACGCTCTGAGCCTTCTTCATTTAAAATGATTATGTTGATAATGCAACACGGTTAATATTAGAGGATTTCGTCTTACTTTGTATTTTTGGAGCTGTGCTTGATGTTTTGGGGGATGTAAACAGGAAGTCAGTGAGTTAACTGAGCTACAACTTGAGCACCGTTTTTAGCCTGTATTCCTTTACATTCAGTCAAACCGTCCCCATTAACAGGAGATGAATTAGCAGTTAGCAGCTCCTGTTAAAGGTTCAGTGTGTAAGGTTTAGTGACATCTAGTGGTGAGGGTTGTGAATTGCAACCAGCAGCTCACGGTGCATTCAGGTGCTCCTCAGATGGTCCCATTTCCCGAATTCTGAAGTCGTTCTTCCGACTTCAGTGTGTGTTCTCGTGCAGCGAAGTTCTGTATACTTGTTTATGTACACTTTATTTCTCTTTTTGCAATAAAGATTTAAGTAGGAAATAAAAATTCACATGAATGCAACCATTATGTGTGACTTACTCAACGATGCATCTAAGCGGCTCGCCGACGCATCACAGACGACAGACGGATATCTAGCATGCTAAATATCTTGACGCCCGGCCAATCAGAGCAGGCAGAACAGAACAGCGGCCTGCCGCTTTTAGCGGCGCCTGTTGGCTGTTAGCATGGATGCACAGACAGCTATCACAGCAGAAGAAAATTTAAAAACCTAATTTTCAGGGAAGTTCTGCAGCGTCTTTGTTCTCTGGGTACTAACGCCCACGCCACCTCCCTCTGAATGACCACGGCATGAGGTGTCCACACAGACAGCACTGATGTCGTTCTCCATGGAGTCTGCCTTTGATGGGGCGGTGATGGCGCAATGGATAGGACACATGCCTTTGATGTGAGAGACCCAGGTCCAACTCCCCACTGTGACCCATCCACCATTGTGTCCCTGAGCAAGACACTTAACCCCTCGTTGCTCCAGAGGCGTGCGACCTCTGACGTGTATAGCTTTGGATAAAAGCGTCAGCTAAATGTGATAATGGCCACCAATAAATGTTTCATTAGGTTATATTTTTCGGTTATATTTATTTTAGACAGAACAAGGTTTAGGACTCTGCATTCAATTATAAAAGATAAATAATAATAATTTGAATAATGTCTGTGACACATTATACAGATACAGACAGTGAAACTGTAGTAAAAAGGTGTTGTGCTGCTGGTATGCTGTCTACACGTTTGTTCCGGATGGACATCAGAGCTCATGATATCCTCAGGAAGTCACACTGGATGATTTAACATGTGTTTCATGTCTTCTGCCAGACACTGAGCTGATGATACATCCATGGGTACACTGCAAACAGGAACTGCTAACAGCTAATCCAGCTACCGGTGACAGTCTGACTAAATGTGAACAAATTTTGGCTGAAAAACAACAGGTCTGAAGAGAGAACGCCGCCACCGTTGATCAATACTGAATGATCTGCTTCTTCCACCAGCCTCCTCTCTTACTAACACATCAGCTGCTGCGTCTGCACCCAGACAGACGACGACTTTTCAAGAACATGAGCTAGCTCGCTGTTGTTGCTGTGGGCGGAGCCGGTTTGCTCCTACATGCCCCCCCCTCCAGGGATGACACAGCTACAGTAGTGTGTTTGTGTGTGAGACAGGACAATAACACTGAGGCCTCGTGGGGTTTCCAATTATAGCTTTATCTCCATCATCACTGCTATTCTCAGACTGCATATGTACAGTCTGTGTGTGTGTGTGTGTGTGTGTGTACATGTGCCCACAGGCCTGTGTGTGTGTGTGTGTGTGTGTGTGTGTGTGTGTGTGTGTGTGTAGGCAAACCTCTGGCTGTTCACATTAAAGCAGTGATGTCCTTGAACCTTCAGCATGAACCAACACTGTGCGTGCGTGTGTGTGTGTGTGTGTGCGCTTTTCCAGTAGCTTTAAGCTTATTGGCCTGTGTGTTTGCACGTGTGTGTTTGCATGTGTGTGAGTGTGAAGCTGTCCCAGCGATTACAGCCTGATAAATCACCACCGCTGTTTTCTGAATATTTTCTTCTTCTGCTGCTGAAGGTCGACGTGCGCGCTCATCCCGTGACTGGAACACCGTAAGTCCCCTAATAGAAGAGCTTTCTCATGATGAAGTGAAAAAAACGTGGAGGGGCTCACCTGTACTGTCTTGGCGTAAAAATCAATATCCATCTGCTCACTGATTAATTAACTGTTTTTCCTGCAGGTGTTTCTGATGAGGAAGGTTTTTCTCTCTTTGCCGTTGTAAATGAAGATGATGCTGAAGATGTTTCCAGCAGAACACGTGTGTGTGTGCATGTACCTTTTAATTTTGAGCGAACTTTATTGGCTGTCTTCTTGATGTCAGCTGTGAGGTCCTCCAACTCCTGCTTGGTCTCTGCAGAGAGAGAGACAGAGACAGTTTGTTATGATGTCTACACGTTTATCACAATTACGTGTTTTCTTAAGGTTCGTCAGTGGCGGGGTCCACCACAGACACCACTGACCTTCACTCACAGCCCTTTGTTTTCGTTTTATTAAGTCAGTTTGACCTCTTTGTGGATCTTTGGAAAACAATCAGCAGAAACAACCCGTTATCCCAACTTGTCACATATGGACGCTCGGCCAATGACACTTGGCAGTGCATTTTAACGCCCTGAGTACCCGTTTTTGTACCGCGGTCAACTTTTGACTTTCAAAATAAAGCTAGTGGTTAACGGTGCAAAACATCACAATTTAGTTAGGTTTAGGCACCAAAACTACTTTTTTAATTTTAGGAAAAAATTATGGTTTGGCTTTAAATAACTACATTACCTACGTGACTTAAATTACGTAAGTTAAGTAACGTTGCTTGCGTAAGATTCGGAACTTACGCAAGTAATATAACTTAATAAAAAACATTCAGTGCTGACTTTTTGTTTTGCACAGGAAACACCGGTCTACTGGGTGAAAGTCCGGTTTCTGGCCCACCATCCACCCCGACCACCTCCTTACTTGGACTTCTATCTCTACTATCCTACAGACATCCAGGGGAGGTCAGTCCACGGTTAGATATGACACGCAAGACAATGTTTTTCTGCTGCAGAGACAGGGTGGACGTCGCTTTGATGTGACCCGTTTCTGATCATTTTACTGTATTTATTTTGTTGCTGTGAGTTTACAAAAACATTTAAACAAACAAACGAACGCTTGTAAAAACCTGCAGAGGTAAAAATGAATCCTGAAGCCTTTCTGTTTCTGTGTTCATCTTTCACAGATACCTGTATGAGAAAATAACGTACTGTAGGCAGCAGGGTTTTGATTCTTCAGTGTATTGTTGCTGTTGTGAATGTGGAATAAACATGTTGGTTTTGTTTCCTATTGATCAAGAAATACCCGTTTGAAATGTTAGGCGATGATTGCAGAAGTTCCCTTTGACGTAGACGTGAGATGTTTATCTCCGAGAAGAAGAAGAAGAAGAAGAAGAAGAAGAAGGTGGTGTGTGTGCAGAAACAGGAACATCACATCATGTCAGCCATGTTGGAGAAGGGGAAAGATGTGTGTGACTGTTTTGTAATATGTGTGTTGCAGTGTGTGTGTGTGTCTTAATGTGTGTGTGTGTGTGTGTTGCAACATGTATGTATGTGTATTTTGTAATTGTGTATTTTATGTATGTGTGTGTGTATGTGTTCTGTAATATGTGTGTGTTTGTGTATTGTATATGTGTGTGTGTGTGTGTTGTATTTTGTTTGTTGGGTGTGTGTTTTTTAATGTATGTGTTGTATGATGTGTTGTAATATTTGTGTGTGTGTGTGGTTTAATGCATGTGTATGTTGCAATATGTGTTTGTGTTTTAATGTGTGTTTTGTAATTGTCTATTTTATGTATGTGTGTGTGTATGTGTGTTGTAATATGTGTGTGTTGTAAATGTGTGTGTTTTGAAATGTCTGTGTTGTAATATGTGTGTGTGTGTGTGTGTGTTTTGAAATGTGTGTGTAGTAGTTTGTTTAGTAGTGTGTGTGTGTGTGTGTGTTGTAATATGTGTGTGTTGTATATGTGTGTGTGTGTGTGTTTTGAAATGTCTGTGTTGTAATATGTGTGTGTTGTAATATGTGTGTGTTGTAATATGTGTGTGTGTGTGTGTGTGTGTTTTGAAATGTGTGTGTGTGTTTTAATATGTGTGTGTTGTATATGTGTGTGTGTGTGTGTGTGTGTGTTTTGAAATGTCTGTGTTGTAATATGTGTGTGTTGTAATATGTGTGTGTTGTAATATGTGTGTGTGTGTGTGTGTGTTTTGAAATGTGTGTGTGTGTGTTTTAATATGTGTGTGTTGTATATGTGTGTGTGTGTGTGTGTGTGTGTTTTGAAATGTCTGTGTTGTAATATGTGTGTGTTGTAATATGTGTGTGTGTGTGTGTGTTTTGAAATGTCTGTGTTGTAATATGTGTGTGTTGTAATATGTGTGTGTGTGTGTGTGTGTGGTAGCTGCAGCAGTGCAGTCAGATTTACGAGCGCTGCAGTGCCACTCAGCTTCTCCTCCCTCTGACTCACCCTGCTCTCTCTCGTCTGACCGCCTCTACTTTTATTAGCTTATTAGCATAGGATGCTAAAGCTATTAGCATGGGTTGCCAAAGCTCAACACTGACAGGAAATAAAAACACCACATATGTTTTTTATTTATTTATAGAGCACGTTTAAGTAAAAACTGTTAAGGACGGTCGATCTGTACGGGATTCAGCAAATGATGTTAATTCACCGGAACAGAAAACCAGTCCAGACTGGTTCCAGTAAAACCAACCCACTGTCTGTTCTCAGGTCAGACAGCATGTTATTCTTTTCCCTCCAGTGGTTCAGCCATTCTGAGATCATTCTGTTCTTTTCTTTTTTGTCACTGTTTTGGTTTTTTTGGTGTTTGTGTTTTGCTGCTCTCATTCTGGTAAGCCCTTCCTCTTGTTCCTCTTGGTGTGTTTCACTTCCTGTTTCTGTGTTATTTATTCATTCATTCTGTTTCACTTTGGTATGTTCCTCTCCTCTCTGGCCACTTCACTTCCTGCTGAGTTAGGTCATGTTCCTCTTCCCTGAATGTGTCCACCTGTGCCTCATCTATCACTTCCTGTTTTGTGAGTGTTTCTTCTTTTTAAGCTGCAAATTCGTCACGTCTTTCTCCCTCTCTTCAGCCGAGTGTTTCCCAGTGACTGTTGGATTATCTACGTTTTGGACTGTAGATTTCATGGATCTATGTGTTCATGCCACTCAGGACTTATGCTGCATTTCTTTGGACTGCTTCTTCTCCACAGTAAGTTTGATAATCTCTTCAGTAAACTCTGTAAAACCGCCTGTTGTCTGAGCTTGGGTCCAAACCCATTTTCCTGTCAGTGCTGAAGCTAAATACTTTCCTCCTTGATTTTAGTATCAGCAAACACTCAAAGGCTGTGCCTTTATTTACCAGCGCTATATTTAAATTCCTCCTGTTTTAAATGGGATCATATTTTAATTAGAGTCCTCCCTGGTTTCTGACCTGGGGCCTCATTTATAAAACTGTACGATCCAAACTTAAAGTTTATGTATGTTCAAAAGACTGAATTCTGACATACTTTTACTTTACTTGTGTATTTGCATTTAATGCTACTTTCAACTTACCACTCTACTTAATTTATCTGACAGCTTTAGTTACTTTCTATATAAAAACTAACCTGTTCTCTCTCCCAAGTTGTCACATATGGACACATGGTCAAGACTCATTGGCATCAGTTTGTAACGCACTGGGGAGCCCTTTGCGTCAGTTTTTAAACTAAAAGTTGGAGTGGATGGTGGGCCAGAAACCGGACTTTCAACCAGGCGGTCAGTGTTCTTTTCCAAAAAAAAAAGTCCACAATGGACGTTTTTATTTTAGTTATGTGTTACACAAGTAATCTTAACTTACATATGTAACATATTCATTTTAATCAAAAATATGGTCTTTTCCTAAACATGGCCAAATTGCAGCGATTTGCAACGTTAACAAGTACATTTATGTTGAAAGTCTAACCGACTGTGCATGTTTATTGTTGCTAACTTGACCGCAGAGCCCTAAATGTTGAGAAACAAAGCTAAATGGTACCCAGAGTGACATCAACAGGTCTTGACCAAGTGTCCATATCTTACATACTGGGAGTTTAAATGTGTTTATAAAAAAAAACTGTAAAAGAAGAATGCTTTAAAAATAGACATTACAGTCTTTACCTGGGGACTTATTCCAAGTTTTCACCCTAAAAAAATTATGATTTACATTATGTGGATCTGCACTTTGTCCCCATAAGGAAGGGTAGTCCTCACAATGTAACTGTAAACAGATTTATGTCCCCACAACATTAGTAAACCTCACATGTGGCAGACGGTGTCTATAAATCATTAGAGTCATAATTTTAACTGTTTCTCGTAGTTATTTCATCTTCTGCTTTCCACAATGAAGGAAATCCAGTTTATTGGCTAATTGATTGTTGGTCAGAGATTGAAAACAGCTAATGTGAGCTGGAGACTGAGAGGAATGAAGACGTGAGGAGGAGTAACCGAGTCTTTGTGAATGGCAGGGCTTCATCTGCCGCCCTCTGCTCTCACTACAAACCCGCAGTGCATTATTCAGGCTGAAACACTGGAGTGCATTTTGGATGACGGCCTGTTGGCAACGGAGGGCAAGTTGACCCAGAACTGAGGGGGAGAAGAAGAAAGAAAGCGACATGTTTTCACCAGAGGGAAGAAGAAGAGTCCAAGTGTCTACTTGGTTTAATAACATGAAGTGATGTTTATGCACGACAGATATCTATTCTGTGTTCAAATATTCCACTTCCTGTGGATATTATTGTGTTTTTACCACAGTACGTCTCATTAGAGTTAGTTTCTAATCTCATTTTGCCTGATGTTTCTTGGAATCTGAATATATTTCACTGCATGTCGTCTTCAAAAGATCTAATCTGGTTTAAAGTCTGGAAAAGTCTGTATTTAAAGTCTGTAAATTATATATAATATAATTTTCACAGAATTTTAACTGAATTAACAGCACTACCTCACACATGATGTCCTTTATCAGCAGGAACTTAATGAAATTTAAGTTTGTTAATTATTTTTTGGATGAGAATATTTGCTATTTTTTATGAATTGAATGAAATGTTTGTGTGGTTTATGTTATGCAGACCAGCTTTCCTTGTGTTGTATTTTTAACTGAACTGATAATGTCCTTTCTGTGTTTGTATTTTGTTATTTTTGCACATAAAGAAACAGAAGAGAAAGACAGCCGGTAGAGACTCATCAGACGGACAGACGTCACTCACATGTCCTCAGTGGTTAACCTCCTCATATCCTCTGAGGTTAACTGGACTGCATGCAGTTTAAATACTTCAACCAGAAGAGACTTCATGGCCAGCATGCAGCAGGGATTGGAAAATGGAAAGGATAAGGATAAAGGAAGAAATGGGGGAAATAAAAAAAGGAAAAGATGGAAAAGAAACAGAAAGAAATAATTCATCATGCAACAACAAAAAGAAAACATCAACATGCATAGACATTTAAATCAAATCCTGACAGCAGGCAGAACAAACAGAAACTGTATGAAAAGATGTAGAATAAAAACACAGACAACATATATGTCGCTCTGCCGAGCGACACGTTCTTCACCTGTTTCTTTACGTCTCATATAAAACACTTACATCTTCATATAACTGAAGAGGTTGTCTTTAAGACGAGCATAAATAATGTGTTGATACAGAGCCAACAGTTATCGATTTAGGAAGTCCAGGGCGGCTCTTAAATTAAATTATTTAAAACAAGCACAAATTTGCTTATTCAAGGCTGACATGGCAACGCTGAATGAAAGCAGAGCAGTGAGGAGCAGTCAGGCATTTAATAAACCTAAGGTCATGAGTCCAAATGTCTCCAATGCAGCCCCATCCCATTAAAAATATTTCTGACTGGGGACCAAAAGACGTCTGTAAAATGTTTTTTCTTTAATTTATTCATTCATTCAGGCAGGTTCTGCAGTTACAAAGACCATCTATGATTTCTAAGTGGCATTATGGATGTTTATTTGTGATGGACATCAGAGATAATGATATCCTCGGGAAGCGTAAGCTGTACTAGTTCCAGCAGTGTGTTTATGATATCTGTGTTCACATTTGACTGAGGTGACTCTGAAAATTATAATTGCATTTTTTGTGCAAATTGCATCAATCAGATTCAAAGGTTTAAGAATTATGAACATGTCCTCATCCCTAAACGCCAAAATAGATCGTCAATTGTTCCAAGACAACACATACGACCGTTGGAAAATACAAATCCAGCGTCAGGCATACTGGACATTACATAAGTCACGCGATATTAAACATGTGGTTGATGTTGTGATATGTCGTAGTTTGGTTAGGATTAGGCACCAAAACTACTTGGTTAGGTTTAGGCACCAAAACCACTTTCTTAGGTTTAGGCACCAAAACTACTTGGTTAGGTTTAGGCACCAAAACCACTTTCTTAGGTTTAGGCACCAAAACCCCTTGGTTAGGGTTAGGAACCAAAACCCCTTGGTTAGGTTTAGATACCAAAACCACTTGGTTAGGTTTAGGCACCAAAACCCCTTGGTTAGGTTTAGATACCAAAACCACTTGGTTAGGTTTAGGCACCAAAACCACTTTCTTAGGTTTAGGAACCAAAACCCCTTGGTTAGGGTTAGGAACCAAAACCAATTTGTTAGGTTTAGGCACCAAAACCACTTGGTTAGGTTTAGGCAACAAAACCACTAGGTCAGGTTTAGGGAACAAAACTACTTGGTTAGGTTCAGGAAACAAAACCACTAGGTCAGGTCTAGGCAACAAAACTACTTGGTCAGGTTTAGGGAACAAAACTACTTGGTTAGGTTTAGGCAACAAAACTACTTGGTTAGGTTTAGGGAACAAAACTACTTGGTTAGGTTTAGGGAACAAAACTACTTGGTCAGGTTTAGGCAACAAAACTACTTGGTGAGGTTTAGGGAACAAAACTACTTGGTTAGGTTTAGGGAACAAAACTACTTGGTCAGGTTTAGGCAACAAAACTACTTGGTTAGGTTTAGGCACCAAAACTTGGTTAGGTTCAGGCAACAAAACTACTTGGTTAAGTTTAGACAACAAAACTACTTGGTCAGGTTTAGGCAACAAAACGTCTCGGGTTACGTATGTAACCCTGGTTCCCCGAGAAGGGGAACGAGAGACTGCGTCGGTTACGACACTATGGGAACGCCTCTAGGCGAAGCAGGTCTGAACGTGAATGAAATCACTCCAATCCTATTGGCCTGTTGCTAGAACGGTAAGGTGTGACGGAATAACCGGAGGAGTATAAAGCACACCTGTACACACTCATCATTAGCTTAAACTATGAAGCAGGCGCTTCAGGCGGGGAGAGAGGTGCGGCGGGCCGACGCAGTCTCTCGTTCCCCTTCTCGGGGAACCAGGGTTACATACGTAACCCGAGACGTTCCCCTTCGAGGGAACTCGAACTGCGTCGGTTACGACACTATGGGAACGAGATACCCACTAAACCGTGCCGAAAACCCCGCCTGCCCCTGTGTGCAATAAAGTGGCACTACTAAGAGGAGAGCGCACGAGTGCCAGGTGCCGAAGGAAGGTCAAGACTGTAAAACCGAATGAATGTGTGCGGAGTGGCATAGCCAGCCGCTAAACAACATCCTGCAAGAGGCCCCGGAAAGGAGGGCTTGAGAGGCCGCCTTGCCTCTGGTAGAATGAGCCCTCACAGCCACAGGTGAAGGCAAACCGCGCACCTGATAGGCCAGGGAAATAGTCTGAACAATCCAGTTGCTAATAGTATGTTTGGATGCAGGGAGCCCGGCCCTGGGAGACCCAAAACACACTAGCAGCTGGTCAGCCTTCCTCCAACGGGAGGACCTCAGAGTGTAAATACTCAGTGCTCTGACAGGGCAGAGCAGATGAAGTCTCCCGTCCTCCGCCGTCACATGAGGTGGAGGATGAAATGCCTGCAGCACTGTGGACCCTGCCGCACAAGAAGGCACTTTAGGGATGTATCCTGAATGAGGGTGCAGGATAGCCCTAATATTCCCCGGGGCAAACTCCAGGTTTTGCGGGGAAACCGAAAGCGCTTGGAGCTCCCCCACCCTCCTTAGAGAGGTGATAGCAAGGAGAAAGGCCATCTTGAGGGTCAAGTGCTTAGCCTCAGCTGACTCCAGGGGTTTGAAGGGGGCCTCAGCCAACGCCCCAAGAACCACTGCCAGATCCCAAGTGGGAACCTTGGACCGAGTCGCAGGTCTCATCCTCCGGGCACCACGGAGGAAAAGTACAACCAAGGGAAGTTTCCCCAAGAACCCCTCCCTCAGAGGGGTGTGGAAAGATGAAATAGCTGCCACGTACACCTTGAGGGTGGAAGGGGAAAGACCAGCAGAGAACCGGTCCTGGAGGAACTCAAGTACCTGAACCACCGGGCAGGTAACAGGGTCCACCGACCGCTCCCTACACCAAGTGGAGAAAACACTCCACTTCAGGCTGTACATCCTCCGTGTGGACGGGGCCCTGGAGCTCAGGACTGCTCCGGCTGTTAGACCCGCCTCTAGGTACTGTGCCCCCTCAGGGGCCAGACCCACAGTCGCCATATGGCGGGGCAAGGGTGAAGAACCCGGCCCTGCGCCTGGGACAGCAGGTCTCTCCTCAGAGGGACCCGCCACGGCGGGCCGTCCAGGAGCGACATGATGTCCGAGAACCACACCCGGGTTGGCCAGAACGGGGCTACGAGCAGTAGGCCGACATAGTCCTGGCGGACCCGCTCCAGAACCCCGGGAGCAGAGCGACTGGGGGAAAAGCGTACAGACGTAGCCTCGGCCACGAATGTACCATGGCGTCCAGACCCAACGGGGCTGGAGGAACGAGAGAAACCATAGCGGGCAGTGCGTAGTCTCTTGAGACGCAAACAGATCCACGTCTATGGGGCCGAACTCTTCGCACAAGAGCTCCACCACTTCGGGGTGAAGTCTCCATTCCCCGGGCCTCAGCCCCTGCCTCAACAGCAGGTCTGCTCCCTGATTCTGTGTCCCCAGGAAATACATCGCCCTGAGCGATAGTAACCTCTGCTGGGACCACAGGAGGATCTGACGCGCCAGTCTGTCCAGAGGGCGCGAGCGCAGACCGCCCTGGTGATTCAGATAGGCCACCACCGCTGTGTTGTTCTACTCAGAACGAACCAGGACGTGGTGGCCTTGGAGATCGGGCAGGAAACTCCTTAGAGCCTGGAACACCGCCAACATCTCGAGACAGTTGATATGCCACTCGGATCGATGCACCTGCCAGGATCCCCTTGCAAAGCGGCCATCCATGACCGCGCCCCAGCCCGTGAGGGAGGCGTCTGTCGAAATAACCAGCCGGCACAAGACCCTCCCAGCACGGGCCCCTGGGACAGGAACCAAGTTTCCTTCCAAACTGATAGGGAACGAAGACACTTGCGCGTAACCCAAACCAGACGGAGAGGATTCCCCTCGGGGAAAAACCCTTGTTCCTTAGCCACCACTGCAGGGGTCTCATGTGCAGCAGTCCAGATGGTATTACGCTGGACGCAGCCGCCAGGAGACCCAACACTCGTTGAAGTGTTTCATAGTGATGGCGTGGCCTAACTTCACCCCTTTCACGGCAGCCAATATGGTGTCGACACGTGCCGGAGACAATTGTGCCCGCATCGTTGTCGAATCCCATGCAACCCCTAGGAACGTAGCCCGTTGGGTGGGCGCCAGCACGCTCTTCTTTGCGTTGAGCCTCAGCCCTAAACGCCGCAGACGAGCCAGAACGACATCTCGATGCCGAACCGCCAACTCTCGAGACTGGGCTAGGATGAGCCAGTCGTCGATGAAGTTGAAATCCGGATGCCCCGGAGCCTCAGCGGGGCCAGTGCTGCATCCATACACTTGGTGAATGTGCTAGGGGAAGTGCCAGGCCGAATGGAAGAACCCGATACTGGTAAGCCACACCCCCGAAGGCAAACCTCAGGAACTTCCTGTGAGAAGGACGGATGGAGACCTAGAAATAGGCGTCCTTTAGATCTATCGTGACGAACCAATCCTCAGATTGGATGTGCGTCACGGTGGCGGGGATGATGAGCATCTTTAACCTGAATCTCCTCAGAGACCGGTTAGAACCCGCAGATCCAAAATAGGGCACGCAGCCCTCCGTCCTTCTTGGGGACTATGAAGTCTCTGTCTGGGGGGGAGACACGTTCCACGGCCCCTTTCCTCAGCAGAGTACAAACTTCCTGTCCCAACACCGGACCTTGCTCCGGGCGGACCACAGTCCAAACCACCCCCTCTCTTCTGTTGAATTTGGAGGGCGGGCTTTGAACTGTAGTCGATACCCATCTATGGCAGTGCGCAGGATCCGCGGAGAAATGTTCGTCAGGCTCCGCCAAGCGTCTGCAAAGTCTGCCAACGGAACCAGCCCCTCGGGGCTGGTGGTCGGTGTCTCGTGTGATCTTCTGGTGGACCCCTGAAGCCCCAAAACGGCAGGGGGGAGCCGCCGAAGATCCACGGTGAGTGAGTCGGGATGCCGTCCGTCTGCAGACCCTCGGGGCAGGCAGTACGGTGCGGACTCGATGGTGGCAGGTGCGTCCTGAACGTGTAAACGGCGGGATAACATCACCTGTTGCCACGGCGGAGGGGACCTCGGTCGGCCTCCGGGGGGGGTGGGGGGGGTGCGGGAGGGGAGAAAGACTCCCCTACCCCGGTCTTCCCTGAGCTCCGTCGGGACTGGATGACGGTCCTCAGATCGCGTCTCTCAGACGGCTGAGGGTGAGAGCGCCGTCTCGCTGCCCCAGCTCCTCGGGGGGCCCCCGAGAAGCGACACTCTGCTTCTCTCCTCTCCGTAGGAGCTCGTAGAGGGAAGGGACCTACGCCTGGCAGCCTCAGCTGCCTTGGGTCCAGACCGGCGAGGGAGGTACTGGCGGAACGCTTCGCACTGCGTCTAACGCTTCGTGGTTCTGCGAAGCTCCGCCAGATCTTCCTCGGAGGGACCCCCCCTCTGAACCATCTCCTGTAGCAGGTTGGCTTGGTAGGCTCGAAGCACCGTGGTGTGCAAGCTCGCACCTGCCTGGCCCGCTGGCATGTACGCCTTCCCCACAAGCGTGGATGTGGTGCGACATGGTTTGGATGGTAACGCCGGCTTCTCCAGGGAGGACGCAAGTCGAGGGGAGAGATAGCTCGCAAGCTCATCCTCCACCCGAGGCATCCTCCCATAACCACGGTCCCTAACCCCCATCACATTACTGTAGTTCAGTGATCGGGGTGTGGAAAGCCATGTAGAGAAGGGTGGGACCGGCGTGGAGGTGGCGTGTGGTGCTTAAGAAACCTTTCATCAAGCTACCACTAGCCTGTGGTGTCTGCTCCTCCCGTGGCCAGTTGATGTTGAGCTTAGCCACGGCTCTAATCACCACCTCCAGCAGCACGTCATAGTCGGGCGCGGCCAGATGACGCCGCCCCGACACCCGGAAGTCATCGTCGACTGCGCTGAGCACGTCCGCCTCCTCGGAGTCGGATTGCCGCAGCGCCTCCGGATCCAAAACCGCGAGCGGGAGAAGCCGAAAACGGGCTCCCGAACGAGGAAAGGAAGCGTCGGAGCCAGCGGATGAAGGTCGGGAAAAAGCCTCAGCCGTCCCGAAATCCTCCAACAGATCACGCTGTGAACCCATGAGTGAAGCCGCCGGGCCGCCTCAGCGGCCGCAGGGCCCGCGCCACGGGGAAAACACATCCGGCCATCCTCGGAAAAGAGAGCCATGCTGTACCTCAGTACCCGCACGGAAAGGGCTTCGCAACGGGCGCAGGCAGCCCCCTCGAGAGCTGCCCGGGCGTGCTCCATCCCCAAACATGAGACACACATCTCATGAGAATCTCCATCCGTGATGTACCGAGGGCAAGAAAAAACACACCTTCTGTACATCTGATTGCCGGACATGCTGGTAGACTTCTTCTTCAGGTAAGACACACTGCTTGTAGGACTGGAGCTTTCTTCAAACAACATACAGAGCGCCTGCTGAATAAAAAAAAAGCTAATGATGAGTGTGTACAGGTGTGCTTTATACTCCTCCGGTTATTCCGTCACACCTTACCGTTCTAGCAACAGGCCAATAGGATTGGAGTGATTTCATTCACGTTCAGACCTGCTTCGCCTAGAGGCGTTCCCATAGTGTCGTAACCGACGCAGTTCGAGTTCCCTCGAAGGGGAACTACTTGGTTAGGTTTAGGCACGAAAACTTGGTTAGGTTCAGGCAACAAAACTACTTGGTTAAGTTTAGACAACAAAACTACTTGATTAGGTTTAGGCACCAAAACTTGGTTAGGTTTAGGCAACAAAACTACTTGGTTAGGTTTAAGCACCAAAACTTGGTTAGGTTTAGGCAACAAAACTACTTGGTTAGGTTTAGGCACCAAAACTACTTGGTTAGGTTTAGGCAACAAAACTACTTGGTTAGGTTTAGACAACAAAACTACTTGGTTAGGTTTAGACAACAAAACTACTTGGTTAGGTTTAGGCAACAAAACTACTTGGTTAGGTTTAGGCACCAAAACTTGGTTAGGTTTAGGCACCAAAACTTGGTTAAGTTTAGGCAACAAAACTACTTAGTTAGGTTTAGGCACCAAAACTTGGTTAGGTTTAGGCAACAAAACTACTTGGTTTTCACACAGATTTTTTCACTCTTTATAATTCAATACCTGACTTCCTCCTTTGCTCCCGTCAAACTGCCACTAGAGGTCGCTTTCGTACAAAAAATGTAAATATGGGTGGTAATATGCAATCAACCTTTACAAATGTTTTTCCGGTGAGAACGTGCTGAGAATAATAGAAGAATGGTGTCTTACAGTGACTTCTATCTGTCCAACAACAAGCTTAAAGGCTCCTTCAGTGAAATCTCATGCGAAGTTGAACCCAGAGGCCTCTCCGTCTCCTCCTGAATCTGATGCAAAACCAGTTTTGAAGCCAGACTTTTACAGCGTAGTGCTTCTGACAGCACAGACTGGGCTTTAGGCTTCAGCGGTGACATTGAGTCATTTATGCTGAGTCACAGTGTGTCGGGTCAGGGTGAAGTCACTGCAGCTCTCTCTCCCAAACAGAGGAGATATTTTTTATTTTTTCCCAGAGTGTCAGGAGGAGGTGGAGTGAGGTAACTGAAGGCTGGCGCTGAGTGGAAGTTTGCCAACAGGCTCATCAGATGCTCAAAGTTCTCATCAGTGAACAGTTAACAGGATTGGATTTCACTCCAGTTCCAGGGTCAAGTGACTGACACAATATTGAACACTTTATATCTGTATTCACAGTCTAAAAGTGTCCAATACAGCACATCTGTCTACAACTAAACCCTCAAACACCACAAATCTACAGCCCTGTGTATCTTTAGGGTGATGTACTGCTGCCTTTTATGGTTTTATAAACTCGTACTCTTCAGTTTGTACATCGGTTTTGTATTTCAAGACGTTGATTTTGTAGGTCTAACATTAGGGTTTCTGGGTTTCAGTTTCATGTCCTTACATTTCATTTTACAAGCTGTGAGACAAAACATCACTAAGGGTGTTTTCAACTCTGTGTTGTTTAGTCTGGTCGGTTTTCCTTCTTGGTACGATTCGTTCGGGCAGATCTGAACACAGCAATCATACTCGGGTACGAGCCTGAATAAACCAAAATGAGTGCAGCGAGACCCTGGGCTAGCCTTGTGATATTTGCGCAGACAGGAGCTTCTTCGTGGCCTTCTTCCTGTGTTTACATATCGTACCAATGAGAGGAGAGAACACTCTCACATTTTAACTTGCTTTTAGTAAAGCATTTTGTTTTACCATGTGAAAACAAACTCATCCACTGATTCAGACCAAATCAGCAAATCAGATAACTTTTCTAACACAACAGCTGGTGGACTTGAATGACATGAGTAAAATATAAAATGTTCTTACCAATATTAACCAATATTAAGGTAATTTTCCAAGGATTTAAAACCAGGCCTGTGTTTCTGGTCTACATAGTTGTATATTTGGTATGATTGAGGTTTGCGACAGCTCCAGAAGTTGAGCAGGTGTGTAACCTAATCAGATGCATGAAAAGGCGCTAGATGTGATATGCAGTACTTGGAATATGTGTTAGAAAATATTAGGGTGACTTCTATAAGCATATATGACATATGCTGAATATATGCATAATGTCAGTTAGCATTGTATTTGTTTAAGCGCTCCGGTGGAATGAGCTCCTGGTGTCACGTCACCAGCGCTCTGGAAATATAAATGAAGTTAGTGTCGTGAAACCTTGTGCATGAACAGTAGAAGTATGACCTGTGGGGAAAAAAATTGTATTGGTAATTCTATACATGCAGGTGTTATATGAAAGTGAAAGTGCAGTTTTGGCTCTCATTCATCTGCAGCCCGATCTTGTTAGTCCAAAATAACTGCCTGGGGGCGTTACCAAGATGGCTGCCAAGTGGTGGGACTTGCCTATAAGGACTTTGCCGTTTTTCAGTATTATTCAAATTATACATTATATTTATTATCTAGAACTTTGGACAGTCACGGTGATAATGATAAACTGCTGGTAAGTCTAACATCTAACAATGTTTGTGGTATCGGACTGATTGTACTTAATGTAGCTGCTCTGTTCTGTAGCTGCTTACGCTAATGTTAGCATTAGTTTCACAGACTGCTGCTTGAATCCTGGAGAGCCAGGATCCAACAACTTAATGTCCATCAACTTGACAGTTGGTTAAACATTTTACTTTCACTTTTGTTTTCCATGGAAGTTTGTATTCAACCTGTCTCACTGCTTGTGTGTCTTCTTTTAACTGATGCTAACCGTGTTCATAGATATTACCTCGGTGGGTACAGTGTTATGATTACTGATAGGAATGATGAATAACGATTTCCTTTAAAGTTAACGTTAGGGGATAAGAACAGCATGTCAGTGTGGGTCCTCACAGGTGTAGCAGTAAAGCTGTGTAAGAGTCTTACTTTCGTCAGGGTTGGGTGCAGCCAGGATGGCGCTGTGCTGCTTCTTGACATGCTCCACATCCTCCGACAGCTTTTCTATACAGCCCCTAATCTCCTCAACCTAAACACACATAAAACACACACATCATGAGGTCATCACAGGAAACGCCATCACAGCAACATTACATAACATTAAAAAATTACATTATTCCAGGAAAATCCTGTATTATTAAAAATGTCAAAACACTACAAAATAATGAACACAATATCCAGTCAAAATGCATAAACATTTGATTTTCTAAAATGATCTAAAACTTTAGAAACAATAAATTTAGGGGAGTGCAGGTTGAATATTCATAACACTAAGGATCCAGCCCGTCCTCACCAGAAAACAACAACACTGGTTGATAGTTGAAGAGCTTCAAACTATCACATTTTCTTTAGTGCCCTTTTGCAGCCATGTGACAAAGGGCATGTGAAATTGTAGCACATAAATAACCAGAAAATTCCTAGTTTGCTGGTGTTGTGTCGGGTGGATGGCTAGATAATTAGGCAACTTTCACCCAGGAGACCGGCATTCGGTTCCCATGAGAAACAAAAAGACATTGATTTTTGTAGTGTTATTAGCGTGAACAATCATTTTTGTTTTATATAGCCTTAGCTAGCTTGGGTTAGCGCTAGCGTTTTTTTGTAGCATTAGCTAGCTAGCGTTAGTAACCAATAGCGCTATGTTACCCCAAAAAACCCTTACCCAAATTAATGATATCTGTATCAAGAATTTTGTTCATGCGTTAATGTAAAAACAATTTTACTTTATTTCTGATGAATTTCGGCATCAGTATTCGACATATAATTACAATCAAAACTACAAATGACAGCATAAAATATTGCTGCACATTATGTTTTAATATATTATTGCACTAAACGTCACTGAACGATATTAAACTTACCAGATGCCCATTAATACACAAAGTTAAGGATCCTTGTCGAATATGTTTGTTTATTATTATTATTGTGTGTATATCGTGTTTATGTAAAAATCAGCCTCAAAAGTCCAGTGGTGGTCGGGCTGTAGTGTGTGTCACTGCAAACACACAGTTTACCACCACCGCGTCAAACTAGACGCCTCAGTGTGGCGATCGCACTAATGATCAGCTGTTTTGTAGAGTCTGTGTTGTTTTCTGTCCGACACACACACGAGATGATGATCAGCTCTGAAGCTTCCTGCCCTCGGGTGGGAGATCAACACCAAATCTGTGTGTGGTATCCAGTCGATGTCTGTCGGCTGAGGAGGATGATCCACCTTCCACAGCGGACTGCAAGGTCACCGCTCTCTCACGCCACAAAATAACAGCTGTGATCTTACTTTAGATGCTAAACTTCTAAATGTTAACCTCGGGAACGTGTTTTCCAGTGAAATGCTGAATGAGAGATTTTTCTGAGTTACAGAAGCTAGGGGAAGAGAGGCTAGTCTGAATTTAGCTCTCTGTAGTCGCCATAATGTCTGTTTGTGAATACATTCATGTCCCCATAATGTGGGTGGGTGAACAGGCTTCTGTCCCCATAACAACTGTCTATGAACATACCACTGTCCTCATAAGGCTGGTGGGTAAACAGGTTAAGGCGAGACACGGCAGGCTAACATCTTGAACTGGGCAATTTTAGATTTTGGGCTGTTTTGCTTCCTTAACATGTCTTCTTTCAGACTAGTAGAAATAAAACATCCTAAATACACATTTAGTAGTTTATTTGACTACAGTTTGTCTTTGTGCGTCTGAAGACTTCTCCTGAAACATATCTTGCCACTGTCGCTGTCTGCACCATATCACCTGTTACACAACGCTGTTGTTGTCCAAACATGGTTACTTCCTTACTACCAGCAACCAATCGTGAAAGTACTAAGGCGGATGAAGGCAAGTCTTATGTGGCTACTGTCAATTTCTGGCAACGTGATTGGTTTAGATGCGTGATTGGTTTAGATGGCGTACTGTGACACTTCCGGATTTAGCTTTTACGCAGTTATCAGTTAGATGATCTATATTGTTGATTTGATTAGATATTGGCTCTGTAAATATTGATTTTCAATAAAAATGTATGGAATTTTACAACACATTTCTTTAAAGGCCTTTTGGAAGGTTTTTTCACAGGGGTTGTTCATATATCATTCATTTTCTCAATTATAGAACATTTTATACCTAAAAACCAACACATTCTCACTCTCAACTCGTCACACATTGACGCTTGGTTAAAGCCCTTGAGCGTAATTTTTTTGACGTTTAGGGCTCTGCGGTCACATTAGCAACGCTTAGCAACAAGAAATATGCTACGTCCGGTTAGACTTTAAAAATAATGGTGGCGATGGTGCAGTGGATAAGAAACGTGCTTTTGGTATGAGAGACCTGGGTTCAACTCCCCACTATGACACGTCCACCAATGTGTCCCTGAGCAAGGCACTTAACCCCTCGTTGCTCCAGAGGCACATGACCTCTGACATAAATAACAATTGTAAGTCGCTTTGGATAAAAGCGTCAGCTAAATGAATAAAAAAAAACATGCAAGAGTTTCAAAACATCGGCATTTTGAAACAGCACGTTAATGTGAATGTAATGAAATGTTGCAGTTTGGTTGGGTTTAGGCAACAAAACTACTTGGTTAAGGTTAGGAAAAGATCATAGTTTGGCTTAAATTAACTACGTACGTCAGTTAACATGTAAGTTAAGTAATGACTCTTCCGTAACTTTATGTAACTAATATTTAATGTTGACTTTTTGTTTCACACCGGACACAAACCCTGGTCTCCTGGTTCAAAGTTGGGGTTCTGGCCCTCCATCCACCCCAACCACCTCTTACTCAGTCTTTTCTGAAAGCTATCATATACCCAGTGTTGGACAGTGGCGTCACTTCAAGTAGCGCCGTTACTAGTTAAACAACATTTCTCAGTCGCTATTTTCTGAATAAAATAGCTTTTCAGTAACGAAGCTCTTTTATTGACAGAGTAGCGTGGTAGCTTCCACACACGCTACATTTTCCCAAGCATTTCTGAAGCAACAGTGAGTGACGCCACACGGTGACATCTACTGACAAACTAGTAACTTGTAGCGACGCTACTGCCCAACACTGATAATGAGTTTGAACGAGGCAGGACTTCAGCTCAGCTATGGATGCAACTATGTTACAAAGCAAAGCTTCAGGAGAGGAAAATATAAATTCAGCAGCTTCTCAGACAACAGCAAACAGACCACCTGTAAAACTGTTGCTGCAAACTGTACAGCAGCAGCTGTCTTCTACATAAAAATCTAATTGTCATAAATGTTAATCGAGGAGTTTTTCTCCCTCTTGAACGACCCCATTTTGAGTTTGATGCTGCTTCGTATAATTTATAATTAGCTCATTAAGAATGATTCAAGCACTTACGAAGGCTGTAAACTTTCCTATCTAAGTAGACTTCAGGCCTGCTCTTTCCCCGTCTGTTTATGTCCATTAACTGTTGAAATGTGTTTCTCAGACCTGTTTCACTGTGTCTATAGAGGTTAGATTACCTTACCATAAGATGAGTGGCTTTATTTGTCTTAAAAACCATTCAGTTAAACCCAGGGTTTTAATTAAAGGAGGGTTTAATAAGGGTGAATCTAAAGGCTGCATGATGGGCTTCAGAAGGAGAGGAGTGCAAAGAGAACAAAGTGAAGTCGACACCAGAACCGTTGGTTTGTCTTTGTCATCTGTCTGCCCACAGTCAGATCTTCAGATCTCTGTCGGGATGTGATGGGCTCAGTTCACAGGGACTCCATCATTCTGCAGATCTTTGACAGATTACACAGCTAATCTCTAAGCCTCTCTTTCACAAATAACAAAAAAATCAACTGAACAGCTCCCAGATGAAAGTTCCTAGTCGTCCATTCCTGCTTCCTGCATCCGTTTCATTCTAACAAAACAAACTTTAATTTGTTAGGAACCCGGTTAAGATCCTTCACCTTTAGTCCTACTCACAAACTTCAAAATAAAAGCTCTTAATCAGGGTCGGAAACAGGTTTGGGAATCTGCCTCTGTGTTGGGGTGAAAAACGGTCACATAGTGAGAGAAAAGAAGAAACAAGAACTGCAGTCAAGTCAAGAATCAAATAAATTTACAAACAAAAATATTTACAAAGAGGATGGAATCTACAACATATTGACTAACGAGTGCAAGTCTTCACAGTATGAAGAAACTGCCTAATGTGGGAAAATAATAACCCAAAGATTTCCAAAGCTGTTTGTTAATGTAATGTGCCGTATCCATGGGCCGAAATAAGACTCATTTGTTTTGACTCAAAAATGACAGAATACTTTGGTCTCTTAAATAATCGATTTAATTGTGTCGTTGGAGTATTTACAGATGCTGCTTTCTTGTAAGCTAACATCTCTAAACACACATTTCATAAGACGTTACATTAATTTTTTATTGCTCAGTTGTGCAAACAATAACATTAAAGCTGGCACTTATTTTGTTGTCATTTAGGATCTAAATTCCCCTTTTTATTTTATTATGTGTCTAACGGCAGTATCTTTTACTGCTCCAGGTTACTTATCTTAATGTTTCCATTTCAATATATCAGATCATATCGTTGTTAAAGGCTAGTAGAGATATTAAAGATTTCACTCACTATGGATGCAATCAAAGACATTTGAAGCAGAAATTCATTGGAAGTTTTTATATATCTCTTACAGAAGATGTGTCATGACGCTTCAAATTTCCTCCTTTTACAATATAAACTGACAATAAAGGCGACTCTTGCTTTTAAATTTCCTATAACAAGCTATCGTACTGCAGAAAGACTTCAGCGACGTTTCTTTTCTTTGTCTATATTTGTATCATGTATATTAACAGTGGAAGAGTCTCTAAACTTGTACAGAAAAGTCCAAGACTTTAATTATATTTTCCACCCAAGCAAAGCTGTCTGCTTCATCTGGGCACTCAGGGGCCCAGCAGGCCTTTCTTATGTAATATAACTGAATACGGAAAACTACTCCCTATTTCCCAGGGTTTGTGGGAACTGAGTGTCGTGTCTTACCTGTTCGAAGAACTCATCCATGAAGTGGTCCCTGTCGACCTGCACCACCTCCTCATCATCATCGCTGTCCTTAGCCTGCAGACAGACGGGAAATAAACGAGTTATTTCTGCTACACGTTTCAGACACACATGAATCAACATCATCGCTTCATTTCCACAAAATAGTTTCAGTCTGATGTCCTGTCTGTAATCTCTCTGAACGATGTCCTCTTCAAAGTTTCAAATATTTTGGTGCTCAAGATGTTTGACAGACAACAACTTTATTTTCTCAGGTGGCTCGGCAGCTTCAGAATGTGTCGGTCGAAATAGTTCACCAAGCTCAGTGCTCCCTGTGCCACCTGACGTAATGTGGTTTGGTCACAGGAGCTGCAGGTTTAGAAATATGTTTGCTTGAATATCTGTCACGTCTTGTCTTAAAGAGCTTTACAGTCTGTACAACATGAGTCACGCAGCTACATCCTGACACCCTCATACACGTACAGTCCGCATTTTAAACATAACACAATGCCAGAAATCTTTCTCCACTTGTGTTTTCACTGGGACACTGTAAATGACATGTTCCTGGGTAGGGGTGTTCGATATGCATCGTCTCACGGGAAATTCTGTCTTGTTGTTTAACAATGTGTGAGCAGAAACCACAAGTTTTGGAGTACAGCTCGCTAGATTGAATCGCTTGATGTGGATCTGCCTCGACTGCACAGAGGTGGTTTGGCTTTGAAAAGACGGATTTCGCTAAAAAGCCGTCGATCTGCAAACTTAAAGACTAAACCACCGCACAGAATATCAAGAAAATGAAAAGCTTCGGGGGTCAACAGGTCTAAACCTGCCCAGGTACCATCACAAACACGCACTAATGATGACAGAATCAAAGCCACTAAGGCTGCGTTCAGACTGCAGGCCTTAATGCTCAATACCGATTTTTTTTCCCAGATCCGATTTTTTTGTTTGACAGTTCACATTATAGTTTAAATGTGGCCCATATCAGACTCCAGTGTGAACTGTCTGCCGCCTGGAAGTGACCCGCATGCACAGAAGAAGAACACGACGTCACACGCAGCAGCACGCTGTCTTAAGCCGAGTTCACACTACACGACTTTAAGCCCGGTTTGCCGCTTGGAGAGCTCGTCGACAGTCAGGCTGTGATCGGGGGTAAATCAGTGATCGATCACGGTCGCCAGTCATTATGTGTGAACTACATCAAAACGGCTCCCCGACACATTTCGGACACATCGCCGACGTCTGCCAGATATCCAGCCTGCCAAATATCTGGAGGAGTCGGCCGACTCGACATCCAGCCAATGAGAGCAGGCAGCTACTTTTTCACTTCAAAACCTTTTTACTCCCCTGCAGCTCTCTGTAGCTCAGACAATCCCTGCTACCTGCATGTGCGACTCCATCCTTTCACCCAGATTCTTTGTCTTCATAATTGGTATCTTTATAATAACAAACAACAGCTGTTTTGTCTGTAGGTTCCAGTTTCACATTTCACGTGTGTTTTCTTGACAGAACCTGGTTTGGAGACCAGCGTCGGGTGACTCAGCCGCTGTCAGCTCGTGTAGTGTGTGACCTCCTGTCATCGATCAGTCACGTAGTGTGAACGCCACAACGACTTCAAGACTCCCGTCACAAGATGGCAAGTTGTGGCCATCGGCCGACGCTGAAAGTTGTGTAGTCTGCACGAGCCTTCAGGCTACAGAAGTAAACAAGGAGCAACAGAGGTTAGCTCCGGTTAGCTCACGGGGGACTCCCGTTTTTCATTGACCACATGTGAAAGTTGCCCAAATCCGAACTGGAAAAGATCAGATTGAATGTGCCTGTTCACACTGTCATAAAATAACCAGATCTGAGTCACATATGGGCAAAAAAATCGGATTAGGGTCACATTGGCCTGCAGTCTGAACGTCGCCTTAGACATCAGCTACGACAGAAGATACAGTTATTGACAAAATCCCAGAAAATACAGAGATATTTTGTCACCCTCGCACACCCCCTGTTCCTGTTTTTATGTTTAAAATCCCCCCTCTGGAAAATAAAGCTTCTATTTATTTGTTTTCCATAAATCCACAGACGCAAAAAAAAACAACTAACAGAAGCTGAAAGTGACGGAGAGCAGCAGGAGACGGCAGCGTTACATGTCTGAAAGGGGGAAAGACAGACAGCAGGTGAGCTGAGGTCAGCAGGTGAGGCAGACTAAAGCGATCGCTCAATGAAAGTAAACAGTTTCCAATTACACAGATTGGATTTCTATTAATGTTAATAGAGACTTGTGTGTACAGTCAGTGTGTGTTTGTGAATGCAGATAATGAAAAGCTCGTCAGTATCGACAGTCTGTAATGTTTCTAACAGACCTGAGGTTGCACTCACTCTGATCTCAGCGCCGGCAGTCCTCCTCCCAGGAGCTACTATCAGTGTGGTTTGAGGTTCTGTTTGTTTCCTGTTTTATTTTGAAAGTTTTCACTTTATTTCCTGTCTGTGCCTTCCCTGTGATTACCTGATGCGTCGCGCCTGCGTTTAATCACAGCTTGTGTCAGTTTTCCTGTCTTCGTTCACACCTGGTGCGTCTGTGTGTTACTTCCCTGTGAGGTCTGTTTTTTGCTTATTCAACCTGGATTATCACTTCCCTTTTGTCTGTGGATTTTGGACCGGGCGCCTCGCTTTGTTCGGATTATTTTGCTTTTGTTTGGAACTGCCTGCTCGGATATTCTTGGACGCTGCCAGCATTGTAAGTTTGTACCTTTTGTGTTGCTGTTAAAAACTTTCACCAAAGAACTGAGAGAATGTTCCATCACTGAACCTTTTCACTATGTCTGCAGTGATTGGCTGACAGGTGACATAGTATTCATTACTACACAGGAGCTAGAGATGGACAGAGAGGGAGACAGATGATCCATATTATAGAGATATATTCCAGGTTCATCATCGCTGCAAACTCATCGTAGTAATTAATCATCTCTGCTGTTTGTCTGCGGATTGTTTTGATTTGTTGGTGAGCTGATTGGATCGTTATTGACTGGCTGATATCAAAAAGAAAGATTTTGTTGTATTTTCTAAAATACTGCATCAACAAAGCGCATAACCGGCAGACTGAACACGCACACCACGTGGAAGCAGCTGCAGAAGATTCGGCTAAAGAATAAAGTTCTACTAGAGACGAACGAAAAGCAGCGATGGTGAAGAACCACAGCAGAGATTTCTTTGCACAGACCGACCGAACTGTTATTGAGAGTAAGTATACTTCTGCGTCGAATTGACGGCGTAGGCTACGGGGCTACGCCGTCGCCTGACGTGCACCTCCTCAAAAATATAACTACACATCGAGTCGACACAGACCATAAGGTGTGATTGGTCGGCTGGGTAGCCTCGCAATGCCTCCAAGCCAACCGGAAGTACCCCGTGCTTTGTAGTAACTTTTACTAGCAGCAGAAAACGGCGGCTGTAACACAGTAGATCAATATATTTGAGTGTCACAACCAGAATGTGATCCTTTCGGTCGGTAACATTTTACAAGTCTACACCAGCCGCACGTCTACATTTACCCCCATTTACGTTAGCGGAGGGCTAAACCGGAAGTTAGCCTGCTCGGCCAGCAAAAGTCAACACAGTGGACGCTGTAGCGCTACTGCCGACTAGCGAATGACGGATACACCGACGCACAAGTATAAAAACCTGACCCTATGCAGGAGTATAAATCTTAACATGGGAGTACAAAGAGACTGTGGCGACAGGAAACATACTGGGAGTCGTCACAAAGTAAATACGGAAACATGCACAGTAGTGTTGTCACGATTACCAAATTATCTTATCAACTTAAAGTTAATAGTACTGTTTGTTAAGCAGAACAGCATCAGTTAGGTCAGTCTGATGTTAGCTTAGCTTTGAGAATCTCAATGCGTCTCATCTGACAGCGTGACAAAAGTATTTTACACTAATGGTACCCTTCAGCGTCCATATGAAACACCACCGTCTGCTACGTCCCAGCAACACAAAGGAGGCTAACCCCACCTGGTACACAGCTGTAGGGTTAGGGTATGCATAAAGTCAGTAGCTTGCTAGCTAGCTGGCACTAACCGGAAGGTCTGTACGAGACGCCCCAGAGGGTCTCACAGAGACGCATCCGGAAGAGACGCACTCAGTGCATCTCTATGAAATGCTGGAGGGCACCTTTAGCGTCAAATAACTACGTTTTGTCACTTTTTCTGAAAGCGTTGGTATTGGATGCCCTGAGATGAGAACGGTCTGGCAAACATCAGGAGAACTAACTTATCAACAGTGTACTGAGCCATCTTGTTTAATTCTGATTAATGATGTTGAAAGGGGAGACGTCTCAGACCTCTCCAGGTTCTGCACAGATGACGTCGTGTCGCTCCTGCAGTTGCTTTGTTCTTTCGTTAGCACCACTCTGTACCGTCACTTTCATATGGGCTTGCTTGTATCCTTTACCAGCATCCAATCACAAATGATGAGTACTAGCCAATCACAGCACACTAAGGCAGGATGTGTCGAAACCATCTAGTCTATGGTCGAAACTCTGGCAGAAAAAAAAAAGCCATTCAAAAAAGGAAGTGCTGTGAATGACAGGAGGCGGGGCTGTGTGGGCGCTGCAGCGGTGTTTGCTGCTCGCTGTCGGGGAGAATCGAAGCGCATTTTCAGGATCGATACTGTGAAAAATTAATATTAAAACCGATAAGTATAAAAAAAAATCTATATTTTTGACAACACTAATGCACAGTTCAGAATATTTTAATAAAAACACCAAAACTAAAAGTCTGTCAGCAGCATCGTGCTTCTGCATGACTGATAAGAGCCAATCAGGGAGCCAAATGTGAGCGTCTGCATCATCGTTTTTTTTTAAAGTCCTCTGTTTTCACCTGTTTGCACAAAGTTTAGAACCAAAGCGGGGTCAGCAGCTTTTTCAAACTTCACCATTTTAGGTGTTCAGATTCGCATTTTTAGCGGTTTGAGATGTTTTAGAAGGTCTGATGTTTAAAAGGTAGGAGTGAGGAAGGAGCCAGAGACAAAGAGCTGAATAAAAAGAGACAGATGGACAGAAAGACAAGACAACAGAGGAGGAAGGTGGAAAGCCAGGCATACAGACATGCGTATGACTGCAAAGAAAGATGTGAGAGAGGTAGGGGAAAGACAAAGACAGAAGGCAAGGGGTAAGAAAATGTATATCTTAAAGGTTTTAAAGAAGCAGGCTAACATTAGCCTCTCATCTCCATTACAACTGAAGTTTGCAGGTTGCCTAGTCTAATAGTTTAGATTATTGACAAGTTAGTACTTAGCATTAATAAATTAGAGGCCAGTGTATTCTGTGCTTCTTGCACAAGGATTGAATGAATAAAAACAACCCTGGAAATTCACCTTATTTTCAATCCAAATGTTGACAGGTATGGGTTTAAATGACACCTATGGAGTCAAGTAGTTTAGGACGTTCTCTTTCGTGTCGACTGACATTTCATCTGCTTTCAGCTCTTGCTCTTCGACTGATGCCTCCATAAAATAATTAGCATGCCAACAATTCACTATTTCTTTTCAGCAAGCAACAATTCAGTTTTATTCATTACTTTTATTAATAACAGTTAATAAGGCTGCGACTCTTTCATTATTGATTCATCTGCCAATTATTTTATATAATATGTATAATTATCTTAATTTCCTGTTATGTTGGATAACTTTACCCTGAATGTGGAATATTAGGACTGTAATTTCCTCTTGTGTTCATTGCTACGGATAATTATTGCGGGTCTGATCGTTTTATTTATTTACCCACCGTTTGCTATATTCAGCACATGCGGTTAATGTTGCAGCAGTTTTGTGATTCTATCTTCAGAGTAAATCACCTGGAGGTGAGCTGAGTGTGTACTCTGTAAAACAACATGCGGGAGGTTTAAAATAAGAAAACACCCCAAAAAGAAGCAATTTAACGGCCCGTTTATCTGGACACGTTCTCTTCTTCACACTCTGAAAGCACGCAGATTAAGTGTGAACCAGAAGAAACCTGCTGTCGGCGACACGAGTTTTTCCGGCTCAGCTGTGCAGGAAGTTCACCTCCTGTGTGTGTTTGTTTATCTGCTGGACTGATCTGAGAGCAGGTCAAATAAAAGCTAAACCAACACTGTAAACCAGGTTAGTGACGTCAGGTGTGAACAGCTGCAGGAGGAGCTCCAGAACCATCTGCACCTGAGGCAGCATGGGAACTGCAGTCCAGGTGCTGTAGTTACACACAAACCCCGGCTGGATGCCCTGCAGGGATTATAGATACTCAACCCAGATCGGAGTCCTCCAGACTGGATACTTGTTTGCTGCGTGCACAGACGTGAATAAATTCAGCGTGAGTTAATGAAGGTGTGTAGCGTCGCTGCAGATTTATCTGCACGTGTGTGTCTGCAGGGATTTAATTAACTGAAGGAGAAACTTTACATACAGCATCAAGCTGCTCTGTTATAATCAATGACCAGAGACTTGTGTCTGCCGCTCGCTCTCCTAACCCGCGGTGTGTTGGGCCACAATCACGACATTAATTAAAGGTTTCTCCTGCTCCAGCCTCGTTACACCAGACGCCCAAAACAGCCTGTGATTTCTTTTCTTTACCTAATAACGTTAAATGTGGCAGCAGAAGTAATTTATCAACCGAAGGAATAAGTAGCTAAGAAAACCCTCCTGTGTTTTGGACTAAATAAACCACTTTTAAACCCACATGGACTTACTACAGTACTACAGACCCAGACTTCTATCATGCCGCAATAGTTATCTTAGTCATTTTTTTTTACATTTCTCCACGTAAAGAAAGTTGTTAAATTTTTATCATGTGAGAAATCTAACTGAGGTTAAGTCTTTTATTTCAGCCACAGATCTGGAGAAACTCATTAATGCTTTTATCTCCTCCCGTCTCGACTACTGGAGCTCCCGTCTCCGTCAGAAATCAATTCATCCCCTGTAATTAGTCCAAAAGCAGCAGCTCGCCTTTAAATGTGACCACATCTCGAGACATAGGCTGACACCCTCATATGTCTTTTATCCCCCTATGAGCCGGGAAAAATAGATACCAGTAGGAGCAGCAATAAATACTAGTAAGAGCTATTAGCGTGTACAGCATCAATGGGGTAAATAGGGAAAGAAGTGAGACAAAATAGTGCAATTACTACAGGAGAATTGACCC